GTGGGCCGCTCCAATAAATCAACAGAGAGGAGGGGGTGTGGGGGGTTTGGTGTTCATCTGTGGCGTTGGGAGAATGTTGTCTTGGCATGAAACTCGCACTCGCTTTGCTGTGTTTGTTCTTTACTTGACTTTACAAGGTTTCAGTGATGTACTCAAGCAGGTATGTTGTATACACCGCTTTCCTCCATGTGTCTATTTTTCAATCACCGTTATGTTACGTTATGTTACATAATGTTATGTTATGTTGTTACGTTATCTTACGTTACGTTACGTTACATTTCGTTATGTTATGTTATATTACATTATGTTACGTTACGTAATGTTACATTACATTACGTTACATTGTTACATAACGTTATGTTACGTTATGTTACATTAGGTTATGTTACATTACATTACGTTACGCTTTGTTACGTTACGTTATGTTACGTTACGTTATGTTAATTTACGTTACGTTATGTTACGTTATATGTTATGTTACATTACATTGTTACATTACATTATGTTACGTTACACTATGTTACATTAGGTTATGTTACGTTACATTACGTTATGTTACATTACGTTATGTTATGTTACATTAGGTTATGTTACGTTACATTACGTTATGTTACATTACGTTATGTTATGTTACATTAGGTTATGTTATGTTACATTACATTACGTTATGTTACATTACGTTATGTTACATTACGTTACGTTTCGTTATGTTATATGTTATATTACATTACATTATGTTACGTTGTTATAATACGTTACGTTATGTTACGTTACGTTACATTACGTTACTTTACGTTACATTACGATAAGTTATGTTGTTATGTTATGTTTTTACAGGGCAGTTTGACCAGAATGCCATGTTGATTTGTTTGTGTGGATAGCTATTTCTGAAAAATGTGTGAGAATGCTTATGTTGTATCTTTTAATTGAACTACTGAATGAAAACAGATTAGACTATGTTTTAGTCATGTTGGAAAAAGTTCACACTCTATTAAGTCCATACTTCAAAGGGAAGGGAATATTAAAGTGCTCTAAGTAGGTCTAGTACGAATCATGAGTGTTCTGTTGAAAGCTGTTGTTGTAACATGCAATACACTGAGTGAACAACCCAGATTTAGTCTGTGTGCACTGAAAGAAAAATGCATCACATCAATTAGTCACAACTGTACATTACAGGTAGCTTATGTAGCTTGTATATTCTGTACTATAATTTGTATCTGCATCATATAGCTTTTAATTCATTTTAAATAAGGTTATTTGGCCTCACACATTGTGTTTTGTAACAAGAATAAGAATAAAACTACTCTGTTCGAGTCAACACAATGCTAAGGTCAAATTCATCACCACTTTTATTGCTAATAATGTGATTTAATTCACCATTAAACTACATTGGCAATGTGTTTCCTATCGAGGTACTCAAGCTGTGAAGTTTTATTTTTGTTTTTCTGAGTTGAATTTTTAAATGTCAAGCTATGTCAGACTGTTAACAAGTAAATAACAGCTAAAGTTCCTCTGATCTTTGCACAGGAACAGATTACGTGCGTAATTTCTTTGTTGCTAAAAACGTTATCCAGCCTCATATGCATGACAACTCTAAGAGTGCTTGATTCCTTGTGGCACTATGAAAACACAGCAATGTTGGCTCAACCAATCATGTGAGATTGGGGACAGGACTATCTGTTTATCAGGCCAATGGCAGATGAGGGGTGTGTTGGGGAAACTTGATTATGTCATGCAATTCCATTAGCTAGAAATTATACTTGAATCTTAAAATGAATAGACCAATGCCTACTGAAAAGTCAGTATATGTGCTCAGACACATCACTGCATGTTGACAGAAATAAATCCTCAGAAAATATTATCTTCCAAGTCTGCGGCATGTCAGAATTGGCTCGGTCAAAGAGTTCTGAATAACTGTGACTGGAAAAGTGTGCTAAATTCGTGTTAAATGTGGAAAAGGAAACCTAAAATCCTTCTACTGTCAAGGGACGCTTCCTTTCTTTCTTTCTTTTTTCTTTTTGTATATATAAACCCAATCACCCAATTGGCTTTCAGGAAAGAGCTTGATCCTGTTATTGGCCCAGACACAGTTGAGCAGCCATAAACCCTCATGAAACTTTGGGTTCTTGGAGCTGACAGCATTCAGAGATAAGCTTTTACAAATGAGGCACAGAAGGGAGTATATAACTTTTGAAGCGTTTAACTCCAGATTTTTTAATAGCTTTTTTAACGCAACCTTTCTGGCCTCCTGTAATGATTAGATGAGGATGATGAAGGATGTTTTAGCACTGTGGAGATATTTCTGCACTGTTTTCTGCTGTTGAGCAAAACAAATCACACACATGCACACACACGCTCATGGCTACTATTACAGTACATTTCAGTCTGTAGAGTTCTTGCCAAAAATAAAAGAAGTAAGCAAGATATTATATCACGAGAGATAAAAGTCTGTGGGAGTTAATGGCAAGAAAAATGAGAAAGTGGTTGCATACAGTAAGTCTAGAAAAATGGCTAAATCATTAAAAGGAAAGAAGTCATTAATGGAAAAGATTAATGCTTCTCAATTCTTCCAAACAGAACGAGCACCACAATTTAATCATACACACTCTCAGAAAAAAGGTACAAAAGCTGTCACTGGGCCTGTACCTTTTCAAAAGCTAAGCTTTTGTCCATTTTAGGTGCTAATATGTACACTTCAGGTGCTAATATGTCCATATCATGAGCTAATATGTACATTTCATGAGCTACTGTAATATGTACATTTCAGATGTTAATATGTACATTTTAGTTGTTAATAAGTACATTTTAGGTGCTAATATGTACATTTTAGGGGGTAATATGTACATTTTATGTGCTAATAAATACATTGTAGATGTTAATATGTACATTTTAAGTGCTAATATGTATATTTTAGGTGCTAATATTTAAATTTTAGGGGGTAATATATTTACATTTTATGTGCTAATAAGTACATTTTAGTTGTTAATATGTACATTTTAAGTGCTAATATGTCCATTTCAGGTCCTAATATGTACATTTTAAGTGTTAATATGTACATTTTAGGGTGCTAATATGTCCATTTCAGGAGCTAATATGTCCATTTTAGGTCCTAATATGAACATTTTAAGTGTACATTTTAGGTGCGAATATGTACATTTTAGGTGCTAATGTGTCCATTTTAGGTACAAATATGTCCATTTTAGGTGGTAATATGTACATTTTAGGTGCTAATGTACTACTAAGGTACCAATATGCAGCCTTTGGGTACAAAAGTGTATCTTTTGAAAAGGTACAGCCCCAGTGACAGCTTTTGTACCTTTTTTTCTGAGAGTGAGTTCTTCACGTCCTTCAGTAATCGCGCAGAAACTCTACATAATACATAATTAAGAATTAAATTAGATACAGGGCTATAAATGTGTGTGATGTGAGTTACTGTAGATACAGCTGATGATCCAAAGGAATTTATTTTGATACACTTTTAAAACCTATTTATATCTCAGGGAGTGTTTCATGCAGATTAACTGGTTCGGAAAATATTTCCTGAAGACAAATTTTTTTATACTTTGGTATTAGAATCTTCTCTTTTTTAATGAAATGAATCTTTACTCTGTTCGCTTTTGGAGATAGACTCATGTGGTGTGTTTTTAGGGTGTGTGTGTGTGTGCGCTCCTGTAATTCCATACATAATGGGGACAAAATGTCCCCACAAGTACATTTTGACCTTGAGGGGACATTTTTTGGACCCAAAGAGGAAACAAGGTCATAAATCATATAGAATGATAGAATAAAAATAATTACGTCTATGGAATGTCCCCATAAAACATGGAAACCGAGGGTGTGTGTGTGCGTGCGTTCTTGCGCATCAGATTTTTATACCGACCACAAGTATTACAATACCTCAGCAGCATCCACAAATTTCTCTCTTCTTCTTTCTGATTTGTTCTCACTTTCATTCTCAATGGTCTCAGTGCACAACTGAATGGACATTTACCACAAGAGCTCTGCGGCAATCTTGAAAAACCATTCTTCTGTCTGAATTGCTCAAATGCTTGAGGACATAAAAGAATGCTGCGGCGATTCGATTTCTGGGGCAGGTTTTCATGCCTTGACCGGATAGTGTTATTAATCACGCATGCAAGATCCTTTAATTTTATCTTTACTTTACTACTATTAAAACAAAAAGGATGTTAAGGTCAATAGATCAACACCTTGACACAAACTTACTGACTTCTGCATTTTTTATTTCTTTTTTTTTTCTTTTTTGCGAGACATAATATAGCTAAATTATTCAATATTTTGTCAGCAAACTGATTCAGCCACAGAAAGAAATACTCCACGCTGTTGTCTTTGTTGAAATCGTATGAAATGCTGCATTGGAGAGGCAACGGTCCTCTTTTCTATGGGCACAGAGGGGTGCACAGGAAGCAAAAGACCTTTATGACAAAAGGTCAATGGGTGTACTCAAGTCTCACTGACAATGTGCCTCAGCAAGCAAAACCCAACTATTCAGCTGAATCACCAAAAGATGCTCTGATGTTGGGTTATTACGCATTCTAGAATGTTTAATCCTTCCAATAACTAATATGCGTCATACTAAAATAATAAGGAGAGAGAATGAGTTGCTCTGGCATACGACGCAATATTATTCAAGTCACTGTTAAATTTCTAGTGGTTTATTTTGCATTCTATTACATAGTAGGAATCGCCTATTCTGAGTATAGGATGCAGTGAAATATATTTGGGGCACACTGAATCAGAACATTGCATTCACTATTTGCATAATGCATTGACATGTATACAGTATAAGCACTGCACTTTATGCGTCACATTGACAACTTTGAATGACGCACACTAAATCCGAATATTGCATTCATTATTTGCATAATGCATTGACATGTATACAGTAAAAGCACTTTATGCGTCACATTGACAACTTTGAATAAAGCACGTAAGTTATAAGAATGACATGCGTAAATGTGCGGCGTTACGCACGGACTTACCCGAGGACCATTGGACTTCTGCGCTGAGGCTGGTGGCAGGCACATCATCATCAGTAGCGCGTGGGAATTCAAAAACACAAATAGGACCCGATTGTGGAAATACATTGTGTCTGACGTTGAAGTATTAAGACAACTGATAGCCTACGGACAAGATTAAAGAATTGGTCCCAAAGTTGCAGGAAATTCCAAAAGTTTGTTCCCAGATAAATTCGTCCTCAGCGGGTTTCACATGTGTGCGTTTTCATAGTGCCAGAGAGGACGCAGACAAGATGACGATAGTCGTAGTGATGCACTCTTTCCACTGCGTGGGATGTACTGTCCTTTCCAGAGCTACAGGTTGAATAGTTTGTCTTACACTTTGGGACTCGTTTAAAACCTCAGGAAGTGGGATTGCTTTGCGTGATTGACAGCGGGATCGTCCAATGACAGCGCAGTTCGACGAGGTGGGGGTGCAAAAGTCCGCGGATTAATCATCAGTCCACTTGGTTACAGCAAGAGTAATGACGCACTCTGTGACTTTCTTTTACACAACTGTCATATACGCAACTTATTTATGTTTTATGGCCGTTTAATTAGCGTTAAGATAAAGCGTAATATTTAATTATTTATATGTAATATTTAATCATTTAGGCTATATCATTATATATATATATATATATATATATATATATATATATATATATATATATGGTAGATTGAGGTTGTCACAAATGTCGAATCTTCTTCTTATTAATACGGTTATTAGCCTAGGCCAACTCTATTTCAATAAATGTGACTTCATTTAGTGAAGGCTTTGACAAGCATTCTTCTGTTTTTAAATATTACCATTTGAAATATAAAAGCCCATTTCATGTTTGAAATATTGATAAGGACATTTTGTTTTGTATTATTGTATTAAAAAATTCTAATCAAGCGATTATAAATATTGCGACGAATTTTCAAGACATGACTAGCTAGCATGATTGTGTCATTTTACCTTTTGAAAGATGTTTGTCTAACTGTGTGAGAAAGAGGGGAAGAGTAACATTATTAAATAAAACATTAGATAGATAGATAGATAGATAGATAGATAGATAGATAGATAGATAGATAGATAGATAGATAGATAGATATAGGATGTCTGTCTGTCAATCATTCTATCTATCTATATCTTTTTGTCTGTCTGTCTGTCTATCTGCCTGTCTATCTATCTATCTATCTATCTATCTGTCTGTCTGTCTGTCTACCTATCTATCTATCCCGTCTGTCCGTCCGTCCATCCATCCATCCATCCATATAATATGATAATAATATAATAATAATAATAATACTTATTTTAAACTATTGAATATATAATAAAATGTATATAATTAAATTTGGACCATTCTCCCAGCTTCTCAAAAGTTCAATTCTACCCTATTCAATCACATTTTAAGGAGAAAAGGAGAGAAAGAGAGGCAAGCAGGGCTCAGGTCTGCCTCCATGTGGTTCTCCTATCATGGATGCGGGATGAACCTCGATCTGCCGTTAGCTCTCCACTGGGATCTCGCCGTGTCAGCCGGCCTGTGTGTCCGGGACTGTGCGAAGCTCCTCTGGGGGAGGCGAGGGGGGGACAGGAGAGTCTAATGGAATGTTAACGAGATCACTTTATGTCCTGTATCCACTTTCCTTTAACCGTGTCCTCGTACAAAACAAAGACGCATTCTGGCGTGTGAAAAAAAAAAGTTGTTGTTGGAGAAACGTTGACCAACACAGACGGCTGTTGTCACTTGGCTGGACTTGAAACAAATGTTTAACAAGGGGCAGAGAGAAAGGAAAGGGCGAACAAGCTGAAAAGGTCTGTGCTGCCCAATTATCACACCGACCCTTTCCACAGATCCTCAATGGCGGTTCACTGTCTGTTTATAGCAAGCAAAGCCGACAGAAAATTAGCAGGTGTCTGTAGACAAGAGCAGCCAGCCCAAAACCAGCGGGCACCCTGCCGACTCCAACGCAATTATTACCAGGCCGTGCACATTTGGTGGCTTTCATCAACACATCAGTACAGAGGAGAGGTCTCTTATGTTATTATGATGTCTTAGATAAGCATGACAGGCCCGCTTCATGTTAAGTGTCCTTAATACCTTTGTACTTTAAATTGTGTGCTTCTAACTGCTGTTAAACCCATTTACAGCTTTTATAATTAGACATCTGGACCGAGCTTTATTGTGGTATTACCAGCTTTCGGAGAAGTTAAAGTTTCAGTCCTGAGAGATTCCTTCAGCTAATGTCTTTGACAGCAATTGTCTTCTTCAAGATGTACGAATCCTCGCCAGATGTCTAATTAATCCATGACATGTTTTAGTGTGTGCACTTTTTTATTCCTTTTCAGAAAAGCATGGTTTTTCATTCGGAGAATTAAAATAGATTAAACTGTTGACATTCAGTAAGTTTATATTAAGGGAATATTCCATGTTCGTTGACAGTATTTGCGGCATACACTCTCAGAAAAAAAAGTACGAAAGCGGTCACTGGTGTGGTACCTTTTCAAAAGGTACACTTTTGTACCTAAAGGGTGCATATTGGTACCTTCATGGTACATATTTGTACAATTACGGTACCAATATGCACCCTTTAGGTACAAAAGTGTACCTTTTTGAAAAGGTACCACACCAGTGACCGCTTTCGTACCTTTTTTTCTGACAGTGTATTGCACAATGCTAATTATATATCACAAAAAGGTTTGCACTTTATTTTAAGGTTTTCATGTTAAAGTGTCAATTAAGTATGGAGTAATATAAATAATCTACTTGTACGGCAGGATTAAGGTTTGGTTTGAGTTTATTTGCATCTATTAAGGATGATTTATTACTATAGTAAGTAGATGTAACATATAACGAGGACACTGGAAATCAAAGTGTTACCAAAAAGCCCTTTCTTTTATTTTAAAAAGTATTTTTAAAGGCAATTACACTGCAACAAAGTCACCTTAAAGGGATAGTTCACTTTGCAATGAATTTTTGGTATGTTTTAGCTTACCTCAAGGGCGTAGGTGTCTTTGTTTCCACAGTAGTTTCAATTTTGATGTTTTTAGCTCAAACCGTTCTTGTCTGTCAGTCATATAATGGAGGTCTATGGTCACCACCTCAAAGAGCATGCACAGAGAAGTCCAAATTAAATATGATTCGTAAATGTAAGTACATAAGTACACATTGATGGCCTAAGACACAAAACGAGTGGTTTGTCTGAGATTTTAAACATAATAAATTAATAATTTACTCATAAAAAGTAGTTGGATTATATTACCTAAAATGTGTAATGGTTCAGATTACAGGATTTTAGCCCGATTTTGGCAGGATCCGTTTGACGTAGGGTGTCGTGGGGATTCGTAACGACAATGGCGTCGGGACGAAAGATTCGATCGTATCATCTCGTATAGTGTGTGTCATAGTGGCCATCTGCGATGCATCACGACAAAAAGACTAGCATGTTTAATTTTTTTAACGGTCGTCCACAACGGTTCTGTCACATGAATGAGGTTAGGAGCACAAGCTTTTCTGTTTACAACTTTCAAAAAAGACAAAACGAAAGGGAGACGATAGTGCTAACGTTAAAACTAGAAGTAAAAATATATAAGAAAACAATATTTTACCTCAAGTTGTCTTTGAAGCATCCCATACGGTCCTCTTCGAGCAGGGTTCTCAAGTCTCACGCAATGGCCGTGAGACACACGCAATTCAACCAGTTCACACACTCACACGCCACACCGTGTATTTCTCACGCTGAAAAGGCAATGCCGAGCAATCCAGGAAGTCACACGCTACGAGTTTCGCCTTCTCGATGACATCACGCGCAGCATTAAACACGGCATGGGATGACTGGTCAGGAAGTAAAGTGTAGTCTGACATGCGTCTTGTCCACGACACGACAAGATTTTAGGAGCCAAAAATGCGTAATCTGACACAGTGACACACAAAACGTAACAGACAAAAAAATCGTGTAATCTGAACCAGGCAAAAGTGGACTACATTACGAACAACAATTTTTGTCATGTAATTTGAAATCTGTAATTGACTACCGTTAGTAAGTAGGCTAATCTACCCAGCACCTTGTGTGTGTGTTTATTCCTCATCACATAATACTTTAAGATAAAGCATTGTGAGTTTAGGGACTCGTATAACAAGACAATTCAGATCTGAGGATTTCTTAATACATCTTTGTCCATATTTCTCACAAGTGCCTTTTTGACCTGATTGTGGAAGAATGAAGAAAAGAGATGGACACAGAGAGGACTTCAAACACGAGAATGTTAGGTCAGATGCGGAGCCCTTTCACTTTAAAGTCCCTCATCTGGCTTTCATTTGTGGAATTCCATGTCTTTTACATGTATTGGCTGCGATTTTCACAAGCTCCCGTATCTGGAGGAGTCACATGATTCCAGGCCTGGCCAAAGAGCTCAGTCCAGTCACTGACTTTTTACACCTTCTTTGGGGTGTTCTTTAAAGGATACCTCTCAACACACACACACACACATGTTGGGTTTCCATTTTTTTTCACAGGGACTATATTTAGACATAATGGGGTGGTGATGGCGCAGTGGATAAGACACATGCCTTTGGTGTGAGAGACCCGGGTTCGAATCCACTGTGAGACACCAATGTGTCCCTGAGCAAGACACTTAACCCCTAGTTGATCCAGAGGCGTTGCGACCTCTGACATATTTAGCAATTTTAAGTCGCTTTGGATAAAAGCGTCAGCTAAATGAATAAATGTAATGATTATTCTACTGTACAAACTTTCTATCCCCTAAAGAAAACTTTATGCATTTTCATATTTCAAAAAACATAATTTAGTATGATTTATAAGCTGTTTTCCTCATGGGAACCCCCAACAAAGACCCCAAGGACAAATATTTCGGATGTCGCCATTCCATACCATCTTTTGTCCCCATAACGTAAGGTTTACCAGGACACACACACACATTTCGATTTATTCTTCATCCACCTAATTTGATGGAAAAATTACAATTAAGACAGAAAAAGAGATACTTTAAATAAATCTTTTTTTTTTTAGTCTTATTTTCGTATGCTTTTTTTCGCATTCGTGATTCGGTGGCTCTGAACTGTAAAAACACCATTCAAGCACCACTCAAACGACTTGCTACGGATGCGAAAAAGGCAGAAAAATCGAATCCGATTCGATTTTTTTACGACGGACGAAAGTTTCGTGATTGACATAACGTGAGGTTGTATTTATTTTTTAATGTGCGAAAATTTCTGACGCGAATTTCGGACTCAGTGTGCGAGGGCCTTTAAGCTCAGTCGACAGCATTTGTGGCACAATGGCATTGTGTTTTCTTTCAAGGTGCCCTTGTACAGTGTGACTACACAATTAAGTATTGAGTAATAGACGTAAGAGGGATTGAGACAGAAATAGAGAACGTTCAGAGGAAAGCGGGGTGTGAAAAGAACCATTGAGATAGTGTCCAACGAGTGGTGTGTCCAACACCTGCACCGCCTATTCACCCGAGTGTTTACACACTGTCATTCACAATTAATGGCTCTCAGGGGTAGGGCTGCTGGGGCCCCAGACCCTTCCTGGGCCCTTATGAGTGCCTAATTGAGCATACCACCCTCCTGATTGAATTAACAGCTTGGTCCCAGGGACCTTCACCCCACCGGAGAGGGGGGCTTCGTTCCCTCTGTGCCAGCCCGCTGGAGGAGGGGGGGGGAGGAGCAAGGGGTCGAGAGCGCAGAGTTGTCAAAATGTCAGCAAAGCGTGGCCTTTGCTGTTGGCAAAACCAAGCAAGAAATGTGAACTGGGGGCATTCAGAGGTCCCGGTCTTCGCATGGACAGGCCTGCCAGGTGGACGCTGGGTCGCAAGGCTGGATGGATGTAGACCATTCTGAATGTTTGGGGCCTACAAAGTATTGCTTCCTATATGTATATAGGAACACACACACACACGTCTGCAAAACTGCGAGCACATTATATGCTTTTCACTCAGTTTGCAATTATAAATCAAACATTTTGCAAAGTGCTCAACACAGTTCCATACATCAGACACAGCGTTTTAAACTAACAGCTCTTGTGTTTCATTTGGTAAACACTGCCATTCAAATAGCACACTCGTTTTCCCATTATACACCCAACGATCATGTACGAAAACACTTATAGGTAATTTGTTCACTAAGAAATTAAAACTCAATGTTTTGAGAAACAAATACATTATTTGTACCCCATGCATTTCTGTTTAAACTTTAAAGTGCACATACCTCATTTGATCACTTAGTGTAGCAAACCCAGCCAGACAATGGTGAAGGAGCGTACTGATGTTTCCAGAAGCCGTTATTTATGTTCAGCCGTCAGCCTTGGTTAAACACAACTTTCCTTTCAACCTTTCTTCTTGAAACAACTAAGAGCTACCAGATAAATAACATAAAATGAGCTCTTACAAAAAATAAACATTACCCGAAGGCCAAATTAACCGTACAAACAGTCATTTATAAAATACCTTTTCTGTGACATACTTGTGTAAAAAAACTTGAGTTAGCTTGAGTTTACATGTCACGAGAGAAAATAATACATTTAAACACTTCATCACAGATAAATGGATTAACCTTAATATTACTGCACATAACCATTAAACAAGTTAAACACACAATACCTTGTTCCCGTTCCAGCTAGGTGCTTAAATCATCCTTTTAGAGCTTTATTCAATTTTTCAGACCGAAATGTGCTTTCTTTCCTGTGGGTACGTTTGACTTCACCTTTTTAGACGCGAAAAGGACGTTCCACTAGGAAGCGCCAAAATAAAAGTCTCGGAGAAAATAATAAAATAAAGCTCTGAAATTATTATTTACACGTTCCTTAGACTTAGTTACACTTAGAAATCAAAACGTAATGTTTTGAGAAACAAGCACATTTTCACCCTTGTATTTATGCTTATTTTCTAAATGTATACTGAATGTTCATAAGTCGTCACCTTTATTTCTATAGTGCTTTATTTTGTTTCAAAGCGGTTTCACAGTATTCAAACTAACAAGCCAATAGTGTCAAAAAGAAAGCTTTTCTAATATTAACGTGGGCCCTAAAGCTCTTGCCTGATCATTACCCTTCTTTTTCCAGTGATATTCTTCTGAGCTTTTTTTTGTAATGTCTCCCAGCCATCTCTCTTTCTACAGTCTTTCTTCAGATCTCACTCTTTCCTTCCCCATTATAAGAAGACACGCCACCTAGTGCTGATTGGCTACGAGTGTGTTGTGCTGCTCGGTCCGATTCACTTTCAGCAGCTTTTTTTCCACAAATTCGATTTTGATGACAGCACTGTGTATATAATCAAAGTTTCTATATTCCACTATATGTTTAGACATGACATCATGGTTCTTGTAACTGTCATTCAATCAGCTAATAGTGCTCATAACTGAAATGCAATCCAGATGGGAAAAACCCTGTTGTGTCTTGATTAAGGCATAGAAACCTTTCCATATGCCATGTCTCCATCCGCTAACCTCAACCATTTTCATCACTAGGCTATACCATGCAACTCACCTCTCTGTGACCCCCAGCACATACCATTGTGAACAGTGAACTGTGTAATGGCTATATCTCCCATACACATACACACACACACACCAGATCTCATGACCTCAAATGACAAGGCATCCTGCACGTTCCCTGATGTCACGCCGGTCTCACAGCTCTTCTGATGGAGTCCATGGACGGGGCCAATTAAACTCGCACTGTTCTTACACTGGGTCAAAAGTTTAGTGGGTCACCACCACAGACTCCCCCTTCAGTTATCTAATCCTTTTCCATGAAAAGTGGCTCCGGATGCCAATTAAAACGCATCCTGTTTGTTTTTAAATTTAATTTAGCACAACTGATAATGCAATGATTTGCTATTCATGAGTTCACACTGACAAATAAGTCGGCGGTGTATTCTTTCTGGACTGTTAAAGGGGTACATCATCTGCTGGCAAAATCGGCTTTCAATAAAACTTTGTTGCCTGTACAGTTGAAAGGTTTTTTTTTTGTTGATAGAGTTCCCAGTCCGAGGATGTGAACCAGAGATGGTCTTATTATTGGGAGATATAAGAGGGCCCGTTGCTCCACCATTGGAGAATGCATAAAGGCCAACTTGATAACCAATAAAATTACAGCATTGACATCATTTAATTTCATTTAATTGTGCGACAGTCAATCACTGTTTGCAGATACCATAGAAATGAACGAGAAGTGCCGAAAACCGAATCATACCTGTCGCACAATTGTCCGTGACTTCTCCTATAAAACAGAATAGATCAATCCAAAGCAAATGTTTATCAGCAAACATGTTGAAGATTAGCCAATGAGCTGTCAATTCAGTAAATGATAAGCTATTTTTTTAAACTAAGAGAAATTGATACAGTACCTCTCTCGTCTCAATGCGTGCACTCAAGCAGCCTGGCGTGGGAGACACTTTGATAGCACTTAGCCCAGTTAACTAGCCCAGTTCATTCAATATGTGCCAAGCAGAGAAGCGAACAAACACCTCCAGGTTTTCCCTATTTAAATACAGTTAGTCGAGTAGTGTAACTCGATCAAGAATGGTGACACAAAATAAAACGCTGCACTTTTCAAAGAGTGTAAAGTGGATAACTATATTGTATGGGGGAATACCACAGCAAGTGCTTGAGAGGACTTTGACTCGACGCAGTAATATCATTTGACTCGGCGCATATAGGCCCATGTCTAGGCTATGTACTCGGCGCATATATATCTATGTACTCATCACTCCGGAGAGGGAGAGGACTTTTCACGAGTGATGATATTACTACGTCGAGTCAAAGTGCTCCCATTGCACTTGCTGTGGTATTCCATCATACATTATAGTTGGATCCTGCTTGGCCCATAATGAATGAACTGGGCTAGTTAAGTGCAATCAAAGTGTCTCGCACGCCAGAGCGATTGAGTGCACGCACTGAGACGAGAGAGAAATGTATCAACTCGTCTTAGTTAAGGGAATAACACAGGGAATAACAGTTTAATATGAAAAAAAATGGCGTAGTATCCCTTTAAAGGTTAATTTAACCTAATTAGGTTATTCCTTAAAGGGATACTCCATCCAAAAATGAAAATTCTGTCATCATTTACTCACCCAAGTTTTTTGCAAACCTGAGTTTCTTTCTTCTGCTGTACACAAAGGACGATGTTTTGAAGAACGATTGGATCTTTGGCACCATTGACTTCCATAGTAGAAAAAAAAAATACTATGGAATTCAATGATGCCAAAGTTCCAATCTCCTAAATCATGTTGCCTGTTTAGGGTATAAAAAGGGGATTAAACTATCTCTATTTAAAATGCACTATTTAAACTTAATGCATTAACAAATGGTAACAAATTAGAACTCATTGTAAAGTGTGACCATTATACCCATGAAAGACAAAAAGTAAAAAAAAATAATAATAATAACACGCTACCAAACTTCCTGTAAATACAGTGTCCAACTAAACAATTAAGACATACTTAGAAATGTAAAAAAAAACAAAAAAAAAAAAAACTATTTAACCCAGCAGCATTCAACTTACAAGCAAAACATTTTAAAAAAATACACGTCAGGTTTTAAATAATAAAACAATGCCTATACTGTTCAAAGTTACAGTAAGAAAAAGGATATTTGGAAGGAGTTTTTCACAGAGCCATATTATATTTGTACATAGTGCGTCCTCTAGTGTATACATATACTTATTACAGCATTAAAAACAGACTTCCCTTTTTCTCCAAAATAACCACTACTGATGTGAATTCTTAATAATAATAATAAATAAATAAATAATAAAAAGTATTAGTATTAGCATACTATTTATGTTGCAGAAACATGATATAGGCTAGGCTATATATTTCAAGTCCGAATTTAAAGTAACACCAACCACACAGATATGCGTAAATAAAATAACGCCTTGCCATCCTTCAGCACATTCATCATGACAGCATCGCAGAATCGCTCATTCCCCGTTCATAAAATGTGAGGACAAAGGGCTGAATATCTGCGATATTTTTAGAGCGCAGTCACACGGAGGCGGAGCACAGATGCTTCGGCCAAGGATGCGAGTGTCAAACAGCAGGTGGAGACTGACTGACTGACTGAAGGAAAGAACGAGACGAGAACCGACCACAAAAACACATTTGATGAGGAGGAGAGGACATATCAGCCTCCCGATCCCCTCTGAATGAGTGGGCCCTGATATCGGTAAGACTGGCTTTCATTATCGTGATGTGTTTGCAATATCGTCGTCCGCTCTGTCATTGTGGATTTCCTGCGCATTCGTGTAATCAGATATTATTGCACCCGCACACAAAACATCTGCTCTGGAAACTGTCTGTGAAGAGAGATGCTGCGTGCATTTGTGCTTGTAGATGAGTCGTGCTTATGCAGTGTATAGCCTATATGTCTTCTTTAAAGTCATCGTTTCTTTACTGTACAAACAACATCTGTCTTTTAGGGCCTATAAAACCAATCTGTTTATCGAGGCTTTCGATATACACAGTCTCAGTGTGACCAATGTGAAGGAGTGCACGAAACAAGACATAATTTGCATTAACATGACATTAAAAAATAACAAAATTGCGACAATTCTGTTTTACGAGTGAGTAACTGCTAATTAGGTTTAGATGCAGATAGATACTGTAGATATGTAGTGCACATGAGGCATATTCATGCATGATTCCATCTGAATCACAGACTCCAAAAATAGCAGCATGAGTTCTTTAATATTGCCCAGCATGCATGTAACCTTATTTAATTACCCTGAGGCAAGAACCGTCATCACATACAGAAGCAGAGCGTAAAAAATATGCATGCATGTGCAAGCTTTATGGCGTCCCTAACCTTAGATAGCACTCTTAAGCCTTGATCTCTAGAATGAACTTAATAATCCCCGTGATTCCACTCTAGAAAATCTTACCCAGTGCGGTCATTGAAACACTGCAGAATTCATTCTTTTTGCCTTCTTTTTTTGTAAAGTGAACCATGGTGGATCCATTGGAGCCTGATGACCAGAGTAAATTCAGAGGGACCCAGTCTGAAAGCCCAGCTGTAGCCTCTGAAGCACCATGTCTACCTGAGCCAGGTGATGATCGAGAGACAGATGTTAGTGTGGATTCCAGCCCACAGACTACTGATCCTGTACCGAGCTCTCAAGAACCATGCCAGCAACAAAACAGTCAACCAGAAGAGCAAAAACTACATCTGGATCTTTACAATTTTGACTCTCCAGTCGCAGAGGGTAGTCGGTATGTCCTGACAAGCCCTCGCTCTCTCGAGGCATGCGCACGTTGTGGAGTGAAACCTGTGGAACTTCTGGCTCGTCCACTGTCTGATTTTGCCCGTGAGGCACCCGGCCGCAGCATGCGTGTCGCCACAGGAATGTTTGAGATATATGAGAGGGATAGACATGCTAAACTCCGACACTGCAGAGAGGAAAGAGAGCGGATTATCAGAGAGGAGAAGAGGCGAAATCTTCAGGCGGCTCTCAACAACAATGGTGGTCCGCTGTCTTCAGAGAAGTCACAGGAAACCGTCAATGCTAATAATAATCATAGTTTAACAAATCAAGCCCACAAAATAGCACCTACCTGCAGTGGTGCACCCAAAAAGCAATCTGCAACATCTAATCCTAAAAGCATGACAGCGGGATCAGGACCAGTGTCATCATCGTTCTCAAAAGCCAATCCGGTGAACTCTGCTACTACCGCTAAAGGAACGTCTGCAAAAAAGCCCAAGTCCCTTCAAGTAGAGTCTGGGGGAAAACCTTCAATAATCCAACGATCAAATCCGTCAGCTCCAGGAGGTCAGGCCACAAAAAAAACGTTCAGTACTCCTACAAAGGCTCCAAATACCTTCCCCAGATCAATACAAAAACCTCCTTCTTTTCCAAGGACATCAACTTCACTTGCCCCGATAGTGTCGAAATCTTCTGCCCAGAGTCCTGCCAATGGCATCACAAGTACGTTTGCACAGCACAATGGACACATCATCTCCAAATCAAAGGTTAAATGCAGAAGCCACTCGCTGGAGTCTTTGCAACGAAGGCGTGACGCGTTTTGTTCCTCGACTGCTTCAACAACGAACACCACAACTACTACATGCACCTCCTCTGAATCTGCTTCCTCTTCCTATAGCTGGGAAGGGGCAAGAGATCACTGGGCTAAGACATCAAGCCCCCGTGCCCGCACTTTAGCCACCTTTAACTCTCTGATGGGTCGCAGTTTAAGCTTGGGAGACCTCAGCCACTCTCCACAGACTATGCAAAAAGTGGAGCGCATCGTGAAGGAGGTGAAACGCAGAGGACTTAAAGCTGTTCCAGAACGTGACCGAAAGATTGCCGCATTAATGCTCGCCAGGTACCAAGAGGAGGACATAATGAGCCAGACACGCTACGTAGCACACCTGCAATGGGACAGCGAGAAGCGGCTGGAGGAGCTGCGACGGGAACGCGAAGAGCGGGAGAAACAGAGGGCCGTGCAGCAGTGCCAACGAGCATGGCAGTCGCAAGTTTCTACCCGGCAGCGTTGGCTCAACCAGCAGGAGCGAGAGGCTGCCGATGCCAAACTCCGCCAAGCGGTGGAAAGTGAGGAGCGTTGGAGGGAATTGGCCGAGCAACAAGAACGCAGCCGATTGCAGAAACTGCAACAGGCTGCTCGCGAGGAGAAACACAAGAAGTCATTACAAGAACAGAACCTTAAAGCTCTGGAGGAGGACCGAGCCGCCGTTCTGGAGCAAGAGAAGCTGCTCCTCAAGGAGAAACTGACTATTGCTGAGCTTAAGCGGCAGGAGCGAGAGCACCAACTACAAGAGGAGCGTCGTGGACTCAACCGTGCCGAGAAGAGGCGCCATGCGGCTCTTATCCAAGAGATTGCACGTCGGGAAGCAGACGAGCGCGAAGAAGCTCGGAGAACTGCCGACGAGAAGCTAAATAGGTCTTTGGAGAACTACGAGCAGATACAAGAAAGACGTGGGCAGGAGCTAAAGGAGAAGGCCAAGCGGGAAGAGAAGCAGATCCAGAAAGCAAGACGGGCCGCCGAGCTGCGTGAGCAACAGCTTAAGGAACAGATGGAGGCAAAGGCTCGGGAAGCTGAAAGACGAGGACAACAAGCCGCTCAAGTGGCCGAAGTGCGGGCGCGGGAGAAGGCCCAACGTGCGGGGCAAAGCAGGCAGGAAAAGGAACGACTTCAGAGGCTCAACCGTCAACGCGTAGAGGAAGAGGAGAAACAGCGCCGGCTAGAATTGCTGCAGTCCATTGAGCGCAAACTGGAAAAAAGTGAACAGATTTTCCGAGAAAAACGCGCGGTGTTGGAAAGCGCCCGATCCGTTGCCCGGGCATCTTTCCACGTGCGAGATCGTGTTCGCGAGGAGACAAACATGCGCACCTTCGACAAGATGGCCCTGGAGGCTCAGTTAAAGGCACATTTAGTTGAGAAGTGAGCAACTGTGCAACTTATTCGCTCTTTCCATGCACATCTGTCTAGAAATAAGTTGTGCTTGAGCCTACATGCTAGCCTCATTACCAAACTACAGCAACACAAACTGATGGTGTTTTACCTAAAGATTCACTATTCCTGATGCTGGATCATTTTCATCATGTCATCTAAAGAAATATTTTTCTGTATTTATATATTTTAAATGTTAATCGAAGAACTTTGTGCTTATGTGTGGATGATCATATGTCGGGGCATGATTGTTTTGGTTTTTTTGTAACTTGGCAGCCATGTTGCTTTGAGAGCTGTATATAAAGAGTTCATTGTTTACAACGACGTTTGTCACTATGGCGACAGTGATGGCTTCTTTCTAAGGGTGGCTTTATTTCTTAGAGGAAGAGAAAGAAAAGGGGACGGGATGCTTCTCCCAGAGTCCCAGAGTAAATCTTTTGAGGGAGACTCGAAGCCATGACTTGATGAGTGTAAACCAAACTCTGGCGAAATGCTGATCTAGCATTGCATCCTAGACAAGGACATGACAAAGAATGATCTCAGCACAGTGTAACTGCTGATGAAGCACAAGAGTCTTTGGTCAGCAATTCCACACTGACATCCCCGGCATTCCTTCAGGTGTGTTCAATACTTTTTTCCATGTAAGCTTCATTCTTTTTTTTACTGTATATATGGCATGTTAGTATACACTGCACTGTATACACATTTTTTCACAAAAAAAAAAAAAATAGTGAAGCATCATGTATGGGAATAATGCACAGTCATCCAGACATTTTTTGCGCAATAAACCCTGACATGATGAACAAAAACACAATCACTGAACTCCACCAGTGGTCATTATTCAGAAAGAATTGATCGCTGAATACAATTGACCAGTCAGTATCAATTATTTCTGAGGGGTACATTATTGATCTCATCACATTTCGTGAGGACCATCCAATCATAATCTTGGGAATAAAAATGATAACTAAAAACAAAGAAAGTGGAGAGCAATGCATTGTGGGATATGATGTTCTGTGCAGTATGCTTTGTTTTGGGAGCAAAGGATGCATATACTACATATTGCAGAAATAGCTTGTTGTTTTGAACATTGTCTGCACATTGATGGTTAACGCATCGTCACATTTATATAATTTGCTTGTGTGATGTAAATGTACAGTAAGTGCACTGAAGCAATTTGAATGTTCATATTACATAATAGCTAGGTATTTGCATTCCAACCTTAAAGGGATAGTTCACTTTGAAATTAATGTTTGGTATGTTTTATCTCACCTCAAGGGCATCCAAGATGTAGGTGTCTTTGTTTCAAAGGTAGTTTCAATTTTCATATTTTTAGGTCAAACCGTTCTTGTCTGTCAGTCATATAATGCAGGTCTATGGTCACCACCTCAAAGAGCATGCACAGAGAAGTCCAAATTAAACATGATTTAATGACTCGTAAATGTAAGTCCACATTGATGGCCTAAGACACGAAACGAGCAGTTTGTGTGAGAAAACGAACAGTATTTTTAATATTGTTTTTACCTCTTGTAACCACAGCCACGTCCAAGTGGTCGGAGGGCGCGGACGCTTCGGTCTGCGCAAGCGCCGATGGTGATCTCTCGCACGGTTGCGAAAAAAGTTCAACGTTGTCTGTTGATGTATCGAAATTGTCACATTTACATTTAAATCATGTTTAATTTGGACTTCTCTGTGCATGCTCTTTGAGGTGGACACCATACACCTAGATTATATGACTGACAGACAAGAACGGTTTGACCTAAAAATATCAAAATTGAAAATACTGTAGAAACAAAGACACCTACATTTTGGATGACCTTGAGGTAAGCTAAAACATATCAAAAATTCATTTCAAAGTGAACTATCCCTTTAATTAGACATATTCGACATTGGGAACTTGTGAGAAACAGGGCACTAGTTCTAAAAAATGCCATGTCATCCTGGTACATATCTAGAGGACAGGATTGGAGGAGAGCTTATGTCGATATCTGTGAGAAAAGCACTGCAAGTAGGCATTTTAATTCCTATGAGAGCTTAACCCACGGCAGCCATCTGTCACAGGATTTTCAACAACCTGGACAAAAACTGTATTCTAGGGCTAGCATTATTTCACTGCCTGTGTATACAGGCTCTTTAGATAATTGTTTCATTTAATGTATGATAATTGCAAAACACATTACTATCATTGTCATCAAGAGGTCAGTTATAAAAAAAAATAATCAAATAAATGTATATATTTCCTCTAAATCCATTCTGTAATTTAAATGAAACTAAATCATTGCAGCATTTTACAAAGGAACAAATGTCTCCTGTTAAAATAATGCCAAATCTGTTATCCAAGCGAGTTATTTGATTTAAGAAAGCTTGTGTTAATTGACTGTTATCTGGTTTGTCTCTTCTGATGCAGGTTTGGAAGCGGAGAAGATGATGACATCTGCGACCTGATTCAGTAAAGTATAACCTCCAGGAGACTGCAAAAGACATTTCACTTTAATTATGGACCCTTATTCCCTCTCTGGCAGTGACTCAGCTAGGCATGATGTAACTGGAAGGTTTAATAAACACCGAAGCCATTTTACATTCAGCATATCCAGATGGCTCAACAACAACAACACTTTTAATAGCATAAAAGGTAAAAAAAACTCAGTTTTAATGATGATAACCAAAAGAGAGTTCTGAATGTAATTCATACTCGAGCCATAACAGCTTTTTAGGGCTATCTGGAAAGCAAGCTAAATATAATACAGATCTTGATTTGTTCACACTGACATTTTTGAATATCAGTTTTGCTGTAGTAAATTTGACCAGCAATGACTTGAAGATGATTGTAGCATTATTATGTTAAATCTTAAAAGTATATCTTATCAAGGTGTTATTACCGTTCTTTTAATGATCTAAATAAAAATATGTTTCTTGTGGCAGCAGATGTTTTATTTCTCAAAGAAGGAACATGCAGGGTGATACTTTATCAGAGAACAAATTACTCAGTTTTGAACATAACATTCTGTATTAAAAATAAATAAATTCTAAACAATGTATGGTTTATTAGTTGTTTTATGTATATGAACATAACAATATTAAATGACTTCACATTATGTGCAAAATCCAGGTTCCGGAATTAAAAAAGGTCATTCATTTTCTCCAGACAGGAATTGATTTTTAATGATAACTTGTAAACCTTTAAAGACACATTACAATAAGCTACAAGGTTGTGAATCAATGGAATATGCTTGTGTCTCTTCAAATAATCATGTTTAACTGGAGTTTCTGGGGGAAAACTACATTACCCATGAATCTGCCAAGAAGTCTCCACCAATCAGAGAATCGTGATAAATATATATATATATATATATATATATACTGTATATATTAGGGCTGTCAAACGATTAATCACGATTAATCACATCCAAAATAAAAGTTTGTGTTTACATAATGTGGGTGCACTGTGTATAATTATTTTGTATATATATAAATACACACACATGCATGTATATTTAAGAAAAAAATATTATTTATATATAAAATATTTATACATCATATAAATTATATATAAATCTATATACAGTACATGAAAATATTTATTAAATATATACAAGCATGTGTGTGTATTTATATAATAATTATACACAGTGCACCCACATATATTATGTAAACACAAACTTTTATTTTGGATGCGATTAATCGCGATTAATCGTTTTACAGCCCTAATATATATACGTTTTATTTATTTATTAGGATTACCATCTTGTTTTCAGGGGGTCCTAAATGTCTAATTTACAGCATTAGCAATGCTTCATGGGATTGTAGTTCTTTTCTATAAGCTGGTTCGGCTTAAAGCTCTACTTTAAAAAAAAAAAAAAAAAATTCCAAAAAAATATTTCTAGATCCAAGGTCACTGAAAAATACACACAATTCAGAGTGTGAAAAATATCAAATCATTAAAAATGAAGAAGCTTGAAGCCATCTTTCTCAGTTACATTTCCAATTACAGTTACAATACATTTTAACTTGAAGGACATATTTTTCATAGAAGCTATGTTGGAATATAGTTATTTTATTTTCACTATTTTCACTAAAAGCAAACATTTGACAGTTCAAAGTTATATTATCCTACAGTGTTATAAATTTACAACTGAAAGACACATATTTCCAAATGATGACAACACTGTGTTTGTAGTTTCCTCTTACTGAATCATGTTGAAACTTTAGGGAGTTAATTTCCCCTCTGTCTGTCCGAATCGTGTTAGTCCTCAGACTGAACGGTGTCCTGACGGGTGATGATCTTGTAGGCTCTTCGTCTCAAACAGTCTGAAGTTAGACGCCGGGCGGTTTCTTTCAACTCTTCCAGACTGGTGGAGGAGGCACCACCGCGGGAGGAGGCGAACGACTGAGAGTGCTTCACTGCACACAGGAGAACAGGGTGGAGCATATGATGAGGATGTGGAGTCCAATTATTTCTATTGAGAAATTAAAAGTAAACTCAGTAACACTTACACCAGTGCTGTCTGGAGGCCCGTCTCTGGATACGGCAGCTTTTGATGCGCCGAGCAGCAGCTTTATGCAGATAGACTGCGTTCTTCATGATGGATGGTAACTTGGCCTCGATCTCCGCAGCACAGATGCATTCCTCAAAGAACTCTGGAAGAACGTAATTTAGTAACGTTTAAGAAGCCACTGCATTTTGAACAAGATATTTGGAAATAACAAAATAATTCAAGTAATTCTGGACTGAAAGGGCTTTCAAATCTGGTTCACACTTTATATTAGGTTTCAAGGTACTTCTTTTGTTCATGTTGTAGAACACGACCGATGGAAAGTACTCACTGCGGAGATGGCTGACATCTCCTTTCATTCTTTCCTCCCTCTCGCAGGTGCGTTCGATTGCATTTAGACCCTGTTCGAGATCTTGCAGGGCTTCCTCAGCCAATTTCAGTCGACGCTCCAGTTCCACACGAGACTCCATCTCCGCCTGACACACACAAACAACATATTATGTATATTATGACGACGAGTGTAAAGGAAATACATTTCAGATGTGAAAAGTATGAAGGAAGGAGCAGACATGGGCTTTTAAAGAATTTCAATTGATTTTCAGAAAAGATGAGCAGATGATCCAGAGATGGAGAAGAGGTAATGGAACTCAACAATTATGTACACTGTTATATCCAATGCAACCTTAAAGGGATAGTTCACTTTGAAATTAATTTTTGATACGTTTTAACTTACCTCAAGCCAAGGGCATCCAAGATGCAGGTGTCTTTGTTTCCGCAAAGAAAGTAGTTTAAATTTTTTCGTTCTTGTCTGTCAGTCATATAATGCAGGTCTATGGTCACCACCTCAAAGAGCATGCACAGAGAAGTCCAAATTAAACATGATTTAATGACTCGTAAATGTAAGTACACATTGATGGCTTAAGACACGAAACGAGCGGTTTGTGTGAGAAAACGAACAGTATTTAATATCGTTTTTACCTCTTGTAATCACAGCTACGTCCAAGTGATCTGAGGGCGCGGGCACTTTGTGGCTGTGATTACATTAATTAAAAACAATATAAATACTGTTCGTTTTCTCTCACAAACCGCTCGTTTCGTGCCATTAAATCATGTTTAATTTGGACTTCTCTGTGCATGCTCTTTGAGGTGGTGACCATAGACCTGCATTATATGACTGACAGACAAGAACGGTTTGACCTAAAAATATCTTGGATGCCCTTGAGGTAAGCTAAAACATACCAAATATTAATTTCAAAGTGAACTATCCCTTTAAAATAAGCCTCGATGAGAACTGATAGGAATGTAAATGTGAAATGCAATGTAAGTCACTTTGGGTAAAAGCGTCTGCCAAATGCATAAAATGGAAATGGAAATACATGGTACAGAAATGCATAAATGCATATAATAATTCAAATTTTTGTTTTTTGAAGAATTGTTCCACATCCAATTTTACAGCAAATCCAGTTTCTTGCATCAAACAAATATGTTTTTGTTTTATAGTGCTCCACAATTTCAGGGGTCATTAGTGTTCACCTTCAGCTCTTCCTCGGTGTGCTGTTTGTCTGCTGTGAGCTGTGTGAGAGACTGCTGGAGAGCTTGAGCTTGAGAAGAATAAAACTCCTTCTCCCCCTGCAGAACTTTGGCTCGCTTCTCATTCTCTTTCAGCCTGCAGGGGGCGACAGAAACAAGGGTTGTCTCACTGGGGGGGCAGAAAAGCGAGCATTGGCGTGTAGTTTGTGATGAGATGCCACATTTGCAGAGGCTTGTTCTTTGCTTGCTGTTTCCCGTGTAAAAGTACTGAATACATTATTGAACATATTCTTTTGTATATTTATTTATCAAAATTTAAAGGGACGATATCTAACTTTTAGCGAAAAAAAACAAAACTGCATGGATTTTGCAGAGGAACGTTGTTTTGGTTGTACTGTACTTCGGCTCTGCGGGACTGTGCGGATGAATATGGTTCTTTCTCATAACTAAAAAGAGAGAGAGATTATCACACTGCTCATGAAACAGAGATACAAAAAAATTACTGTAGCTTTACACATTAATAAACACTTGGAAATGAATTCCAGCACAGCACTACCACAACCATAATGAAATTACCCTTCACAGTAAACAGTAGATAAAGAAGATTTCAACATTGATAATAATATTATAAAGGATCATATGACTGTGAAAACTGCATCATTTTTTTAGCATCATTCCTCAATTGTAAAAAAATGCATTTGTAAAAAATAAAACAGTTATTTCAAATTATAGTAATATTTCACATTATTACAGTTTTACTGTATTTTGATTACATAAATGCATGTTTGGTGAGCAGAACATACATTCTTCAAAACAAATTAACTAATCATAATGTTTTCAAACTTTTGACAGAAATTGTATAAAAATATAACAGTTGTAGCAAACAGTAGTAGTATAAATACAATTATATATTTATTTACTTTTTTTAAAGTAAAGTTAGTGACAGCAAACAGAAATAAGACTTCATTTTTTAAAACTAAGTAAAATAAAAAAATAAAAAAATAAATGACATCTCATCAGGTTGTTATTTATAAAATTGTTGTATCATGCGTAATGGACCATACAGCAGTCACATTTATTTATATCCTGCTTTTGAGGTCACTCATACCCGCTAGTTAATCCACTCTCATCTAATCGATAGACTGGATTATTTAGGGATCAATGTACATTTCCACTGTCATGGAACGGTCCATTTATTCGAATGCACTTTCTGCACAAACAACGGCTCGGCACGTAAACACTGCTACATCCCAAATACATCTTAAAACGAGTAATTCACCTGTCTTCTGCCTGTTCTTTCTCTTTCAGCAGACTCCTCATCTGCTCCTCGATTTGCCACAGGTTTCCCTGCAGCTGCGCCTCAGGATTATGGGAGTCTAAAGAGGCCCGACGTTCACTTCCTGTTCCAGCCGCATCCTGTCCTCTTTCTCGGAGCAGCTCGAGGGTGCGCTTTTTCTCTTGGGATAACTCCTGAATTCAGACAGAGTCAGATGTGTGTTATGGACCTTATCAGGGCACTTCATATTAAGTAGTATCATTGATCTCTCTGCACTGACACTATTGTGTGAGAATATGCAGCTGTTTTAAAGCCGATTTGACTTTATTTCATAATTGACAAATTTTGTAACATCAACACTGTTACTGAACACTGAATTGGCTCAACGTGAATAACGACACTATACTGTAGACTTGATTATAGCTGCATTGAGGTAATTTCATAATTGGTTAACTTGAAGGATTTTTGGTACTCTAAGTTAGCGGTTAATATAACAAAACTGCATGCATTTTGCAGAAGAACATTGTTTTGGTCGTGCTTTAGCATGACTGTGCGGATGAATATGGTTTGCAGCACCGGTGAACACATGGACATTCAACAATGATGCCATATGAGCATGTAAGTGCAATATTTTATGTTGTTGTTCATTCGCTACTAGGCCTAAAACCAGTTTAGATGAAAAGGATCTCAAGCTGACTAACTACACATTAATAGTCGCAGTACTTCCTTGTAAATTGAATTGAAATTTAATGAAATGACCCTTCACAATAGAAAATGCTTTACAATGAACTCTGTCAGAGAACTACATATGGCAATGTATCTGTTCAATAAAATACCTTACTCACCTGTTGAGTAATAAAAAAAACACCATCATCTCTGCGTCGCTTTTGCAACACTTCAAATCCCTCAGCTCTCACATTTCCGAAAAGCCAAGCTAATGTTGATTCATGTTTAATTACGAGCTCTGTCACGTCAGCAGACTCTCGTCTGTCCGGTGTTTGTTTAAAACGGGTGATTCTCTGGAGGTTGGAGTTTAAGCGGCTCCATGTCAACCTTTCTCACTCATTGTGACAACTAACCACACCATACGTGGCCATCTTCTTCTTCTTCTTTTGGGATTTTATGGCAGCTGGCAAACAAATAATAGGTGCATTCCTGCCACCTACTGGGCTGGAGTGTGGACCGTTGATGGTGGTTCTCAACTCCAGTCCTCGGGACCCACTGCTCTGCATATTAGGTATGTCCAGAGTCCGTCTAACGGAGAGCCTTGGCACTTCCTATTAGCCCCATTGTGTATCACCTTGGTTGTAGTTCCATTAGAATTCCACTGGAGGTGATCGTGGGCGAGTGCAGAATGAATGGGAGTCTATGGGGCTAAACGGCTAAATGTGTCTCTTTCACCTGCTTGCCGTTAAATCAACATAGATTTTATTGTTGATTCCGCAAGTTCAATATAGGTTATAGGCCAAAAGTCGAATGAACGAGTACTTATGTCCTTTCGATTTCTTACAGGTTAGGCCATTGTTGGCCGGAACACGCTAGCATTCTGCTATTGCGTGACGTCATCACATTTTTGAACGGATTTTTAGAACAGATAAGTGAACTTAAAAATGCAATTTTCAGCTTAGCCCTCCCCTTGAATGCAACTTTCAAATTACTTGACAAAAAATTACATCCTGAGAAAAGTGGATTTCTGGGGGTGAAACCCCATTGACTCCCATTCATTCTGCACTCGACCGCGAGCACCCCCGCATGGACAAAGACGTGTTACTGCAGCCAGTCCAGAACCCGGAAGTAACCAGCCAGTGCCAATTCTCTTCAATTAGACATTCTCTGATATTAGGTATGTCTCCTTTATTTAACACACCTGATTCAGAACCTCAGCTCGTTAAGATAGACTCTATGAACTGAACTGAGCGTGTCAGATAAGATAGACATACAAAATGTGCAGAGCAGTGGGTCCCGAGGACTGGAGTTGACAACCACTAGGAGTCTATCAAGTAGCCGGAACAACTTTTCTCTATTTACGAATATGATGAGACATGCACGGAGATGCTCCTCACTGCAGAACACGAAATCCACCTCACATATACCTAAACCTACTCACCTACTCATCTGACTTCAGCTGAATAATCACACTGTTGTCTTTTTTGGAGATGATTTACAACATTGAATTCTGTTTGCATTATTAATTCTGTTATTTTCATGTTTATCAAGATGCTTTGAAACAATCTGTATTGAAGGTTGACAGTTGACACACCTCATGGATAAACACAAGCCGGTGTTCTGTCGATTTTTGCTGCCTTGTCGAAAAATGCTACCGTAGCGCGAATTGATCACAGAATGCCGATTAAAGTCGTATGAAATACAATTATAATACAATTCTAAGTTATGAGTAGCTACTGTATACTGTAGACGACTATTTTTACTTTTAAAACGGTGTGAAAAATAAAAATTATCATAAAATATTCATCTTTGACTTGTCAAAGTACACCTTTCCTCATAGTAACTGAAAATTTCAGTTATTCTTTTTCAGCTGGCTGGCCATACAAATATTCACATGGTAGTAAGCATTTTTTAAAGGGAAATTATATATTATAACAGGAAAATGTACCTTTTGTAAAAAAAAAAAAAAAAAAAAATCTGTGAGTCTGCACATGCGCATAACCGGTAAGTAGCAAATCTCGATGGGTAGCATGAATTGTCAGAACACCGGAACTACATTGTAAAATGTGCTAGTTAAATATCTTTCGCATGACTCTGCAGTCTCATACTTTTCACAAAATTATTATTATTTTTAAACTTCGAATGTTCATTTATTTATTTAGGGCTCCACATCTGAGGTCTGATTAGTCTAGGGGTGATTTTGTAATTTCTTCAAATTATATTTTATTTTTGGATACCTCTAAAGACTTCTGCAGAAGTGTGGTGAGATGATGAAGCTCCTCTTTCTCATTTTCCACTCCTTCCAGACACTGTGAAGTACCATCCATATCTCTATCAACACAGAGAAGTAGAAAATGCTCAGGAAAAATTACAAAATAATATCTTATCTTATCTAAAGTTGGATTGCTCTCAATACCCATTTTTTGGATGGATGGATGATTGCAAGAATAAACTAAAATGTTAATATGTTTGTAAAACTGTTTATACAGTAATAGTCGCCTAAATGTGGTGGGGTGTCTTACATCTTAATTTGCTCTTGTTCGGCTCTTAGCTCTTGAACCACTTCTTCAAACTTCTGCTTTTCTTCTTCCAGCAATTGATTCAGTCTCTCCAGCTCCTACGAAACACAGACGTATTTATCCATAAGTGCATGATGGACTGCATATCTAAACTTATCTGTGTACAAAAATATAGTAAAAAAAACGAAATACTTGTGGGTGTAAATGACCATAAATAGTGAGCTAACCGCCTTCTCTTCTCTTTGCAAACACAGTTCCTCAGTCTCCTCCATGAGCTTATCTAAATACAAGAAATACATAGACAATCCATTGGCCCTTAATAGATTGTATTGTGAATTTGACATTAAAAAAACAAAACAAATAAAGATATCTGAATGTTGTGGCCATACCCAGGTATTCCTGCTTTTCCTTAGCCAGCTGTAACCCCTGAGCTTCAAGACTCTCAATCATGGCCTCACCCAACTGAGCATTCTTCCAAGTGCTTTAAGAGAATTAATAATCATAATAAAAAAGTAACACTAAAGTCATAATCAATAGCATCTAATGGCTCAAATGCCCTGAGTTTTTTTTTTTTTTTTTTTTTTTTTTTTTTAAGTGATGGAAATGACATAATCCTTTACACTTTAACAACTATCTTTCCACAGAGATGTTAGAAGTCACTCACACTTTTCCGGACTCTTGTAGCATCTCCACCCACTGGCTCTGCTCAGACTCAGACTCCGCAGCCAGGACAATGTTCCCCTGTATCAAGGTGAGGTGAAAGATACAGACATTTATTTATTATTATTATTATTTTTTTATTTGAATATTTTTATTTTGGTGCCACCATTGTCATTGGGTTACAAGAATCACGTCCAAACCTATTCATTTACAATCACAATGTAATGTCAAAGTTAGCATTTTAATCAACAGTAGGCCAACCTTTATAATCTTGGAGTATCGCAATAATATAGTATCAGTTATACGAGTTCAGTATCGTGACTGATATGTATGGAATTGTGACCTGAGGGTATCGTTAGACCTTATGCACCAGAGAATCGTGAGCGCCGTAATCTTTAGATTGTCTTTGGACTTCCGGTTTCGCGGTAGCTCTGTATATTTCTATGGCAGCCATTTTTTACAGTCTATGATGGCAGCTGGTGAAGTGGATTTACTTATTGTAGAGTTAACAAAAGTTATCATGAGCATTGTAATGTTTATCATAAGCATTGTAAAGCAGATGTCTTAACAAATGTCGACCGGGAAATTATTTATGAGCAGTTCATTCATACCTATGCAAGATCGCTGTGGAAATGCAGACCGGAAGTCAAAAGACAACGAGTGGCGACGCAGCACAGAAAAGGGGCGGGGCTTCATAAGGTCTAGTGATTATTTCTTCCACGGTTAAAAATAAATCAGCAAAATAGTTTTGCAATTTATGGCTAAAGACTAAATACAAAAATGCAGCATGTCTAATCTTATCAAAAACCAAACCATAGATCTGATATCCTAATAAACAATAGAAGAAGAAAAAGCGTTTACAGTGAAGTCCTCATGGGTGATGACCACGGCAAACGGCATGCTTTGGTCTTCTCTTGGCTCAACAATACATCCACCTAATGGAATCACCCCCTGACATGGAGGAAAACGTTCAAACAATTATAGAAATCAATATCATGCTTTTAGTTAGAAATATATTAGAACCCACCGGACACATTTTTCTGAAGTTACTCTGTATGTTACTCAGTTTTTAAATCTCGACTTAAAGGAGTAGTTCACTTTTAAAAAACTTTTGCTAAAAATTTACTCACCCCCATGTCATCCAAGATGTCCACGTCTTTCCTTCTTAAGTCGGAAAGAAATTAAGGTTTTTGATGAAAACATTCCAGGATTTTCTCCATATAATGGACTTCATTGGGAACCAAACGGTTCAAGGTCCAAATGAGAGTTTCAGTGCAAACTGTTCAAAGGGCTTTAAATGATTCCAGACAATTCTAGGACAATTCTAGGACCCTTCGAGTCATGACTCGAAAAAAGATTTCTTCGTTTTGATGAACGAGTTTGAACAGTAGAGTCACGCATGCTCATCACAGAACAGAGCAAGGCGAGTATTTGTGCTTATAAAACTTTAACTTTTTTATTTATTTGTTAAATGACGATCATTTCGCTTAAGACCCTTATTGATTGTTTGGAATCATTTAAAGCCCTTTGAAGCTGCACTGAAAGTGTCTTTTGGACCTTGAACCATTTGGTTCCCATTGACGTCCATTATATGGAGAAAATCCTGGAATGTGTTCATCAAAAACCTTATTTTCTTTTCGACTGAAAAAAGAAAGACATGGACATCTTGGATGACATGGGGGTGAGTAAATTATCAGCAAAAGTTTTTTTTTTTTTAAATGACTTCATTAAAACTTTAAAATCTGTTTAGGCAGGCTTATGTGTGATTTAATGTTTTGGATTGATTGTTTACTGTCTTTTTAATGCATTTTGTAAGGTGTCCTTGAAAGGCGCCCTTAATAAAATGTATTATTATTACGTTATCTTGGTTAGAAAACCTTTTAAAAGTAAGCAATCCTCCAAAAGCTGTGCTGACATTCAACAACCCTTTTGCTTGTGTGATGTATATGATTATGTCATTCAATTTGTATTCATTTATATTTAATTAGTTTAGCTGCCTTCATTTTTTTAAGCACAATAAACTTGGATGTTTAAGTCATTTCAACTTAAATTACATTAAACAGACTTTAAAAAAATGAGTTGAATTTTGTTCAACTGAAAAAAAAAATGTTAAAGCAATGTTGTCATAACTTACTAATCATATCATTTTTTACAGTGAAAATAATGTGCGATGTTGGCGTACCTTAGGGTGAATGTTGAAATATTTAGTGGTCTCAAAGCTTTTTTTCTCATTTTCAGCATAGTACAACAGAAAACTCTCCTTGATGATGAAGAATCTGTTATGAAAGCACAAACATTCATGATTAACAGCAACAAGATATTCAATGATCACCAACACATAATAAACACATTTCCTCCTAAAAGCACTTGTTAAAAACTCCACAAATTCATAAATGACCGTAAATATAACATTCACTTTATTGGAATTGATCTTTCCTGGAATTGATCTTTATGTACGCAGTACAAAAAGCCCACCGGCAGCACAGATCTGACTTACTCAGCTTTAAAGCATCTCAGGTCAGTAAGCTATAATGATGGGTTACTCAATCTCGTCTAAAGCTTTTAAAGTGCACTATAGCAAGGCGCCACACAAAACGTGCTTAAACCATTCCAATCATACCTTCTTCTTAGAACATAATGAAATAACATGTACTTTGTTATTGACAACAACTGATAAACAAATTGTGTATCTCTGTAAAAAATATTTTCAAGATTTGTTATCAAAACATATTTTCTTTTGTCAAATTGACTTTATAATAATTTATTTAGTTGAGATAACTTATTATTTTGAGTTTCTGATGGTTAAATGAATCTACTTCATTGTATTAACTCACTTTTTCCAGTTCAATCAACTTAAAATTTTAAGCCAACCCAGGTTACTTACTTTTTTAAGTTAAACCAACAATATTTTTTACAGTGTAGTAATCACAAAATTGTTTCTTTTGTCAAATCAACTTAAATAATTTATTTAGTTCAGATAACATATAATTTTGAGTTTCTGATGGTTAAATCAATCTCCTTCATTGTATTAACTCGCTTTTTCCAGTTCAATGAACTTAAAATTTTAAGGCAACCAGGTTACTTACTTTTTTAAGTTAAACCAACAATATTTTTTTACAGTGGGGAAAGGAACACATACTGAAAATAAGATCACTAAAGAGATCTTCTAATAAAAGAGTCTCAAGCTTTATATTTTTGTACGCATACCTGCGGGACCACTTGGCCGAGGGCCTGCCGAAAGGTCTCTTCCACAGAACCCCATGCAGTTGCACTTTAGTGCTGATGTCCAAAGCGTCCGAGTCAGCTTGCTCCATGGAGGTCCAGGTTGAGAGTAGGAAGGGCTTGGACGAGGAGAACATAGCTGACTCTTTCACAGATGAGGAGGTGTGGTAAAAATCAAATCAATGAAGTTAAAATGGTAGCATGCACACTTTCCAATCAGGCAAAGCCGGATATGATATCCTCCAGTCATTCAGCGACGTGGAATGATGCATCTGCCAATATAGTGACATCAGCTGGTGCCGGACAGTGTGGAAATAGAATCAGAGAGGGGGGGAGGAATAGATATGAGAGGGTTAGACCAAGAGGCTTTAGGAAAGAGTGTTTTTTTTTTTAATCTGAAGGACGTCAATGCAGTATTTTGAAGGGAAATGCTATTACTTTATGGATTTTATCACTTATGACGTTGGAACTTACACACACACACACACACACTGCCATTCAAATGCTTATTCTGACCAAGGCGAATGCGCTTTATCTAATCAAAAAAATTGGGACAACAGATTAAAAGCAATATTATTAATTCAATTTAACAAATTAGAATTCAGTAATAATTATTCAAATTAATTCCTTAAAAGTAAACCATTTAGAATGAGTAAAACGTATACATTTAAGTCGCCATTATGGTGATCGGTGTTTGATTTAGGTTTCCCCTTCAGTGATTCTGCTTGTTAACATTGGGTGTCTTCAATGTTGGCAATATAAAATAAAGAGTTCTTAATTAATCTTTGACGTCTGTCTGTCTGTCTTAATTTTTTGGTGTAAACTTTACTCATTTTAAATGGTTTACTTTTATTAATTATTACTCAATTCTAATTCTAATAATATTGCTTGTAATCTGTTGCCACAATTTTATTGATTAGATAAAGCGTATTCATTTTTACGATTAATAACATGAAAAAGAGTAATATTGTGAAATATCCCAATTTAAAATAACTGTTTTCTATTTGAATGTATTTGAAAATGTAATTTATTCCTGTGATCAAAGCTTCATTTTCATTATCATCATTACACCAGTGTTCAGGGTCACATGATAAGTTTCCAAATATAACCTATATTAGACAGATGGGGAAAGGAGATTTTAGACATTGTTCTCCGTACATAAAAGAGCAATCTGTCCAATTTCACAGACTAAAAGGAATCGGCTAAAGAGCCATTTGGTGTGTTGGTGTGCGTAAGTGTTATGAATACAGATTTCAAACAACTTTCTCAAACACATTATGGATCGTAAATCTGCCATGTTTTTCATCTTATCCACCGTTAAACATATGTTTATGAGCATGTTGTTTGCTAATGGATCAGGGATTATGTATCCTAGACAGTTAACACAGCTTTAATATGCAGTGGATTTATTTTTAATAACACTTAATCTGTGACTTTACACATGGGCTAAAGGTTTACTGCTTAAAACTTGTTATTTGCTTAGTACTACATCTTAAAGGAATGTTCTTGGTTTAAAGCAAGTTAAAATGTTAGCCAGATGCTGTCGATTACCACAGAAAAAAATCAAAGCAGGCATACACTGAAAAAAATAATATGCTTTATCTAATCAATAAAATTGTGGCAACATATTACAAGCAATATTATTAATTAAATTAAACTATTACTCAATTCTAATTTGTTCAATTTAATAAATAATATTGCTTGTAATCTGTTGTCACAATTTTATTGATTAAATAAAGCATATTAATTTTTACAGTGTACGTGGGATTTAAAAGCCGGAAACTTCATATTGTACTTTGTTATATTGTGTTGTATGTCATTTCCCACTACGAGTATACATTAAGCAGATGCTTATAATATGGAAATTATGCTACACAGGCATGACTTGTACACTTGAGTTGTATTTTTGTGTAATAAATTACAAATTATATTATATTCTAATATATTAAGGCTGAGAGCCTTTTCCACCCATTCGACATTCTGTAAAAAATTATATGTTGACAAATAGTTTCACATTGATTTAGCTCATCAAAATAAGTTATTTTAAATTTAGTTAAAATACAAGATTTAACTCATTTTTTAAGAGTATTTACAATGTAATTTAAGTTTAAATGACTTGAACATCCAAGTCTATTTTTTTTAAACTAATATCCTGTCTCTCAGAAAAAGTTTTACAATTTGTATCAATGGCAGAAGAGCAAAAGTAAAGTTTAAAAATACTTTTTATTGTCAAGGAATTTAGTTTTAAGAGTTTTTTAGGCTAGAATGTAGTTGTTTAGACCTCAAAAAACACGGTTTACATGTAGACATTGAGCCTATTTGAAAATTTGTTGTTTGTGTGTGTACATAACCACCCATAATGGTAAAAATCCACACACTCCTCTTTTTTAATCCCCATAAGTCATAAACACCGTCTCAGAACAAGCCCTTTGTAGATTTGTGATGTCACAAATGCTTTGGCCCGGGCCAACGACTGCGGGATGGACTTCGTCTCATTAGCATATTACCTGGACAGTAACCGTGTGAAAAGCACTATACAAATAAATGTTTTTAAACGATTACTCATTGCTCATTTATTTGCTTTATTAATTTACAATGTGAAAATATTTCTCAATGCAATCCCAAATGTTCTTAGACAGGCAAAATAAGGTACGTAGTACGATTTGCATCCATTAAAAAAGAAAATAAGTTTATTCAAATCATGAACAAAGACGTTTGCAACCATTTTAAGTTAAACAATTGCGAATAAAATAAGGCATACCCCTCTCGTGGAATGATCACATAAAAGCCCCAAAACTGAATTCATCATGTTCTGCTTCAATGTAAAATCTCTATCCCAGAAGAATCCGTCAAATATGGCACAAAATTTCACCTAACCAATCAACATTCAGTGCCATTACATATCTGTGCCAACCAAGTCTCTAAGAGGAGGTCATTGTAAGAGTTGCATTTTCCCTTTCTACAAATCAGCGTGAAGTCTTCTCCGTCTGTATATCATCCACAATTTGTGCACTACGGTTAAGATGAGGGCGCTAGAGAGCTATTACGCACAGCTTTCACATAAACTTTAACTATTATTTTTCAGAACAAGAATGCAACACTTTGTAAACCAGGACCGTAGTCCAAGTTTGCCTAATAATCCTTTCCTATTCAAGCTTCCGAGGGAACCTTAACAATAGCTTGGTGATGAACACAGCAGCTTTCCAGTCTTCAACTGCAAAACTTGAAGAAATCCACCATATAATCTTCCCAACTGACCTCAAATTCCCTTCGGTTAAGACAAAGAACAAAAAAAATGCCCTTTAATGTCATTCATTTAAAAACAATCTTTCTCTCTCAGCGATTACAGAAGCTAAAATGAGACTAAAAACTACTCAGGCTGTCAAATAGGGTATTTTTTTTGTCATTTATACAGAGAATACATATTTACAGTACACAGGCTCTGCTTTGAGCAAGCATCACAGTACAAAACATCTGACTGACCAATGAGATCCTTTATCCGGGATTAAACAACCAATCAGCAGGTTCGAATAATACTCAAATAATAACTCTGTACATGCACTGAACTCAACAGAACAATGTGTTCATCCACTAAACCAATAACCTTATTTCATATTTGTCCCAAATAACCATATACATGATGAAATTAGTTTAAATTTAGCAGTAACCAAGTAGCCCAGTGTATGTTCCCATATTAATCTCATTATTATGATTTGTGCAAAAAATAGGGGGTAAATAAACTTATCATAATTACTCCAGGCCAGGGTCCTGCCGATCGACTGTCCTGCACAGTTCATCTCCAACCCAAATCAAACACACCTGCCTTTAATGTTCAAGTGATCCTGAAGACCTTAATTGGTTGCTTCAGGTGTGTTTGATTAAACTGTGCAGGACAATCGATTAGGTTGGGCACCATATGTTTGTGAAGTATAATTATTTATTATCAATTGTTATTTTTTTGTAAATGTTCATCAGTTAAAAGACCCATGGAAATATTCCATATTAAAACCAAAAGATACCAAATTTAAAGCAAACATGACTACACAACAGATTCTTTTAAACAAGCACCACTGAAGAAAAAAAAAAAAATGTAAGTGAAGAGTTGGACACTTGATCGCTTTTATTTGTGTATGGTCATCGTGAGCTGTCAGTCACAGTGTTTTGTGGAGCGGCAGGGCAGGGCATTCCCGAAGTCCTCATATCCCATTCCCGACTGCAAAGTTCCTGCGTTCACTCCAACCACCGACTTGAATAAACGTGATTCAAACCGCTTGTGTGAGGTTGTTGTTTGGCCAAAGCTGTTCAAAGTTCCATTCGACCTGTGGCTTGAAGCGAAGAACACTAGTGCTGGTGTCCGATGGACAGCACTAGAGGGATCAGACATCCGAGGACCAGAGCTCCAACCTCCACTTTGCTCAGTCCTTTCCCTGCGCCGGCCCCGGGCGTGTGGCTGTGGCCGCCCATGCCGCCCACTTCCGGGAGGACGTGCACCGTAGCCACGTACAGGAAGGTACCGGCGGAGAACAGCATGGCCACACCGGTGGCGTTGACGTCTGATAGCGCCTCTTTACTGCTCTGGATAGAAGAAGAGGAAAAGGGTTCGATATATCACGGCGAAGCTCTTTTTTTGTTCTTTACTTAGAGGTAAAACTAAGTTTGAAATAGGTGAGCAGTAAAAAAACTGTTAAACATCCGATTCCAAACCGCCATAGGCGTAATTTGCGGGTGGGACATGTCCCCACCACTTTTGAAACAGATGCAAATAATAATGTAAAGTTATATTTACAAAAAAATATTTGTAAGTATAACATCTCTAGTAGACTAGCAGAGTATTTATTTCGTTTGTTTGTAAAAAGAGCGCTGAAATGTGTTGTTTTTGAAACCAAGTTTTGAAAGCAAGCTGACTCTGCGATCAGTGGCACTGATAAAGTGTTTTCTTGTGGCTCACAAGTCTTCACAAGGATGCGCGGTTTAGTCCATTGCAGAGACTCTATATTAGTTCCTGTGAAATCACAAAGTAAAATGCACACAAGCGTGTCCTTGCTTGATATACAACCACTGATAAACATAATCGGTTTTAATGAGAAAAAAGAAATTATTTATATATATATATATATATATATATATACATTTTTTTTTATTTCAGATAATCAGTGGTTATCTGATATGTTGCTATGAATCATATATCATTTTCTTATGCTATTAAAAAAATGCTTGGTTCTGGGTTCTAATAAATAAATAAATAAATATATATATATATATATATATATATTAAGGTTGTCAAATGATTAATCGTGATTAATCGCATCCAAAATAAAAGTTTTTGTTTACATCATATATGTGGGTGCACTGAGTATAATTATTTTTTATATATATACACATGCATGCTTGTATATATTTAAGAAATATTTTCATGTATATACTGTATATAGATTCATATATAATTTATATTATATATAAATATTTTATATATAAATAATTATATAATTAATAATTTTCTTAAATATACATGAATGTTTATGTATTTATATATACACAAAATAATTATACTCAGTGCACCCACATATATTATGTAAACAAAAACTTTTATTTTGGATGTGATTAATCGTGATTAATCATTTGACAGCCCTAATATATATATATATATATATATATATATATATATATATATTAGAACGTTTTTTTAGAAGCATAAAAAAATGATATATTATTCATAGCAATATGGGATGTTTGCACCAGCTCAATTCGGCACTCTAATAAAGTCACGTCACGTTTATTTATATAGCACATTATTAGAGATGCACCGATACGAAAATTTTGGCCAATAATTTTTTTTTTGAACGCTGATAAGCGATATATTGGCAGATAAATCCAAATCTAAATTTTTATATAATTTTTTTTGAGAGCCTGATTACAAAACCAAAAATCTCACCATTAAAAGCCATGTCCCAAGCACAGTCATTATAATTTTATGTAGCCTATTTGACAGACTTGCAGATTGTACTTAATCATATTTTTCTTTTTGAAGTGATTTCAATCATATTTCAAGCAATTAAAACTCATCATGGCGAACAGAGCGTATCTGAAGTGTCTCAATTGAGGGAAATAATCCATTATTTATCGGCATTAATATATCGACCCAAATTCCTCATCGGGCCGATAACATTTTAAAATGCACATATCGGACGATACCGATATGATGGCCAATATATTGTGCATCCCTATACTTTATACGATCCATTGCTTAAAATCAAAAATCAAATCAGCTTAAAATCAAATTAAACGAGTGATTGACACGGTCATTTTCTACTATAAAGGCACTGCGATACTTCAAGCGAAACCAAGGGGTGGTGATGGCACAGTGGATGCCTTTGGTGTGAGAGACCCGGGTTCGAATCCACTGTGAGACACCAATGTGTCCCTGAGCAAGACACTTAACCCCTAGTTGCTCCAGAGGCGTGAGACCTCTGACATATATAGCAATTGTAAGTCGCTTTGGATAAAAGCGTCAGCTAAATGAATAAATGTAAACCGAAGAATGAACCGCTGTGACGTCATTTTCACTTAAAGCATATCAGGTCCTTTAGATAGAGTGAATCTAGGACACAGTCAGAGAGGTGGAAAGGTTTTTTGGTGAACATTAAACATTCATGATAGTTGGCGTCCAAGCAGTAAAAACGGCACTGCAGCTCAGTGATTTCCGTCTAAAGAAACAGAATAATGGGGCGTTTCATAGCAGGGGAGCAAGAGGTGAGTAATCTCCACTCAGCTGTTCCCATGGCGATGGGATGTGGGATGCCTGCGGGCCGATCTGAAAAACATAGCGTGGGCCTCCATGGTTGTTATGCAACCCTGGTGAAGCATCTGAAGTTATATTAGTTATTGTGCCATTAAGGGGTAATTAGTAGACATAAAACAAAAATGTTAAATACTAAAAACATTATATGAAAAATTGAGCACATATTTACATAAATTAGTGTCTGAATTGTTTTAGAGGCAAATTGTAATATTAAAACATTTTCATATTATTTCATGTTGTTTTATTTACTTATGTTTAATGTTACTTGTGCTCGGTCAATGTTGAGATTCTTTTTTAATTGGCCAATTAAAACACTCCAGGCTTTTTCCAGGTCTTTTTCACTTTATTCAAATTAAGCAAAACAAAATGACAAATGTTTACTTGCCGTCACATATTTGTGAGCTCGCCACAGGAATCTGAATTAAAGGGATAGTTCACCCAAAAATGAAAATTAAAATGTTGGTAACTATATACTATGGAAGTCAACGGCTACAGTCAACCGTCTGGTTCCCAGCATTCTTCAAAACATCTTCTTTTGTGTTCAGCAGAAGAGAGAAACTCGTACAGGTTTGGAACAACACAAGGGTGAGTAAATGATGACAGAATTGTCATTTTTGGGTGAACTAGCGTAGCGTCTTCTGGGATTTCAAACAGTTTGATTCTCTCAAGTCTGCATCCTTGATATCAAGAACACATCCGGGTACTATATGTTGTGTGTGCACTTGCGTTCTTGAGTAAAGGAACTTTAATGGTTGATAATGAACGGTTGAGAAACGGCCACTGACTTTACAAACTGGCGATTGGCTCTTTTATTTATAATGTAGGGCTTATTCCGCCATATCCTCCCATTCACAGTAATATGAGTGCACAGCCTTTGTATTTCTGATGCCTTTGTTTTAACCTAGTTCAAATTTAATGCAGATATTGTCTTTATCAAATTGACACCACCAAGGATTACCAATAATTTGTTTTATTTTTATACTTGAACATACCTGACTGAGTCCTACGTAGGTGAGCATGGCCAAAACAGGGGCAGCCAAGGCAAAGACTAATAGATGTTTCCGGATACGATTTCTTTCTAAACCCGCATGCATGAGGAAAGAGACGAGTCCAAATGCAGCAGGAGCCTGAAATACAATAAATAGCGTCATAGAAAACAGACTTAAATTTAAATCTCAGTATAAAAAAATAGCATTTTCAATGCATAAGAAACACATTCATAAGGCTAAAAAAATCCAAAAAAAATCATGTAAAATATAGCTGTATTGATTTATAGCCAGTCAATAAGATTTTGTTGTTGTTGAAAGAAATGAATAGCTTTAAATTGACTAATATGATAGTAAAGTCTTTAACATTTTCAAAAAGAAAATCTATTCCACATATACTGCTCTTTTGAAACTTAAAGGACTATAAATAGAAATAATAAAAATAATAAATGTTTGTTTTGCACCAAATCAGCATATTAGAATGATTTCTGAAGGATCATGTGACAGTGGGGTGTCATGCTATTTTGTTTTTACTCATTTGAAATATATCGAGTTTGCATTTTGAATTATTTGGAGAATTTATTTGGAAACACAATTGTAAAGGCGCTTCCATTTACATTTAGTCATTCAGCAGGTCTTTCTAATCTAAACAAATCGATACAAATGAGAAACAGCGCCAACAAGTTATCATAACTATGTTCACAGAAGAACATTAGAGTAATACACAAGCTAGAAAACTTCATTAAGGTTGACTGTACCTTATGCAACATAATGGCCACAAACACGATGAGCTGGACGCTGGTCTGAGACGTGGACGCAGCAGCTCCGAGAGCAACACCATCAGCTGGAGCCACAGATACATCAAATATGATTTAACACAACACAGAATACACACTACTGGTCAAAAGATTGGAATAATTCAGATTTGTTTATGAAATTTCATGTTTTTAAAATAAGTCTCTTATGCTCACCAAGACTGTATTTATTGGTTTAAAATACAGTAAAAAATGAAAAATTAAAACTTAAATTAGTTGTTTTCTATTGCAAAATATAAAGGCAAAGCTGAATTTACAGCATCATTACTTCAGTGTCACTCAAGAAATATTCCTTTTTATTGTCGATGTTAAAAACAGCAATTTTATTAAGCAGCCAAAACTGATTTCAACATCGATATTAATGAGAACCATTATTAATAATTATGCACCAATATATTTGCTAACAACTGAGAACCAAATCAGCATTTTAGATATTACTCAAAACTGGAAGAATGGAAAATAAACCAGAAAACATTTATTTAATTAGGGCTGTCAAATGATTAATCGCATCCAAAATAAAAGTTTTTGTTTACATAATATATGTGGGTGCACTGTGTATAATTATTTTATATATATAAATACACACGCATGCTTGTATATATTTAAGAAATATTTTCATGTATATAGATTTATATATAATTTATATTATATAAATATTGTATATATAATTATTTATTTTTCTTAAATATACATGAATGTTTGTGTATTTATATATACACAAAATAATTATACACAGTGCACCCACATATATTATGTAAACAAAAACTTTTATTTTGGATGTGATTAATCATTTGACAGCCCTAATTAAATAACTGTTTTCTGGTTTATTTTCCATTCTTCCAGTTTTGAGTAATATCTAAAATGCTGATTTGTACTGTTGATTAAAATGCTAACTTTGATATTACATTGTGGGTTTAAATGAATAGGTTTGGACTTGGCGCTTGTAACCCAATGACAATGGTGACATCAAAATAAAAATATTCATGATTCTGAAGCTGAAAATACAGAATTATTTTAGATGAATATACTTGCACTAGATATATTTAGATATCTTTATAATAATGTTGGACACTTTTTAGTGGTCAAGTTACATAAGTCATTTGGCATTATCAGGAACCACAAATATTCCCCCCTTGCATTATTATACATATTAATCAACATTATATATAGTAGTTTACACTAAAACTTTTGTGAGAATTTTTTCTCACACAGTAATTTTTATTTTGGGGAAACTATCCACGATACGCATTGTTGCATTTTTGTATTGCGATAAATTATGACACGATATATTGTTACACCCCTAATATAAACGATCATATGTTTCAGAATATTAGTATTTTTTAAAAAAAATTTTTTTTTAATTTTTTGCATAACATCTAAAATGTATTCAAATAGAAACCAGGTATTTTTTAAAACACTTTCCCAAACTTTTGACCGGTAGTGTACAGCATTACAAATATGACAAAATTACAATCTGAAGCTTCCAAAATAACACACTACATATGCAACCCATTTTAATATCTCAATTAAAGATGTATTACCAGTTTTTTCAATCAGTTTTACCTGCAGCATGGACGACCAAGCCAAGCGTAGTGGTGACTTTAGAGCTAGCAGTCCTCGCGGCTTCTGGATCTAAAAGTGTGGAGAGAACCGTTTCAGACACATTATGCCATCAGATTATACCATGATCTGATCTGTCGACACGGACCATCACTGTTGTGCATGTGAGCGCTGCCGATCTGATCCACCAACAGCATGAAGACGAAGCCCAGCACCAGAGAGACGCCGATATAAGCGTGGAGCTGCTCGTGACTGTGGCTGTGTTCACTGCTGGGTCCCACCACTCCGTCTGCAACCTTCTGATCTGACACTTCTGCTTCCACCTGCCCATGGCCATGGTGGTGCCCACCTACACCAAAACAAGAATCAGTACAGCTACTTTAGAAGTCTTTCATACATATCATCAGTGATGGAAACTACTAACTTAACTACAGTTATGGCGAATTAGCGAAAAACATTTTAAAGCAGGGATAGTTTACCCAAAAATGTATTTTCCAACCATGGCAGTCAATGGCTGTGTGGCTACCAACATTCTTCAAAATATCAAAAGAAAAACTTGAGGGTGAGTAAATGAGGATACATGTGTCATTTTTTGGGTGAGCTATCCCTTTAAGAAAGCATCTGATCATAGAGATGTGGAAACGTTTGCACCAGCTCCACATTATCATTACAATTACACTGATATGATAGTTTGATTATAAAGTATTTTTGAGACTATACAGATCTGGCTGCATGAGATATAGTTAGTTTGAATAAATGTCAATTTGTTATGCAAAGAAAATGGCTTCAATGTCAATATGTTATGCAAAGAAAATTGATTTATTTCGGCATTATCCTGAACATTGTATAATCACTCATTTCATGTGCCATTGAACGGAAGAGAGGCTCTCGGGAACACATGTAAACGTCAGTCATTAAAACGTTGTGATGTTCCTTCACACACACATTAGTCCACAGGCTTTGCATAGACAACCTAGGAAGCCAGGGAAGGTGTAGTTTTTTTAAGTTTCGTTACACGCCGTCCACACATTGGCAATAAAACAATGATAAATACATCAATTCTTACATGTAGCCCCTTTAAAATTAATTTTAAAATTTTTTTTGCTGTTTAGTGGGTCTAATTCACTTAGAATTTATATAATCACATGCATTTAATATAGATAACTACAAAACAGCCAGAAACTTTTTGTTAGTAGTTTAAAGCAATAAAAAAAGAGCTTGACTATAGTTGAACTACTCTAGATTGTAAAGCTACTAACTACTCATCATTTAAAGTAGCAGGTCTACCACACATAAACACATGAAGACTTCTAGATGTCAGTTTTCGGGATTTATGCATGGGAGAACTCTGCCCAAAACTTTGATATACATTCATTCTGCATTATTAAGAAAAGGAATCGATGCATTAACTGAAGTTTGATCTTGAATGTCACCTTCCAGCATTTCCTCATAGAGTGCATGAACTCCCTCTGGAATAATGACAGCCAGTGCAGTGCCACACAGCAGCCCAGCTCCCAACACCGTCACCAACTTCAGCTTCTCCTGGAGACAGAACACCAATCGCAGAATCAGTAAGCATACGGGCTCCACTTTATATATTCAGTGGTGTGAGGTTAACATCATGTGAACAACCAAGATATCATGAAAATATATTCATCAGAAGAGAAGAGGCATGCAGGTACAATCGCATTTCTGAATTATAAACTTAATTTGAACCTAAACTCCGGTTATATTTAGCCATTTTGATATTATCAGCATCAAAAAATAATAAAGGGATAGTTCAACCAAAAGTTTAAATTCTATCATTAATTACTCACTAGGGATGGCAACGATTAATCGCATCCAAAATAAAAGTTTGTGTTTACATAATATATGTGTGTGTAGTGAGAATAATTAATTTGTATATATAAATACCCACACATGCATGTATACATTTACGAAATATGTGCATGTATATATTTTATATATATATTTATTCACAATTAATATTATATATAAATATAAATATTTGATATATTAATAACACATTTTTCTTAACTATATACATGCATGTGTGGGTATTCATATATACAAAATAATTATACACACTACACACACATATATTATGTAAACACAAACTTTTATCATAAACCAAAAAATCAAACACGCCTGTTTAAACAAGATCAGCGTGGGTGGCAGGTTAAACAGCTCGTGTCTACAGTATAAACTTTAAGTTGATATAACATTCAAACTTATAAATTAATTTGCCCTTGGAAGCTTAAATCGAGCATTTGAAAAACAAAGCAAATCTCAAACATGTTTCTGAAAACCTCACTACTGCACATTATAGATGTCTGCATTTGCAAACACATTATCTTCTGCAGATAAGTAAACACCCCGAGGCTCACACTGAACATGGAGTACCTGTCCTAAAGACACCAACTTACTGTAGACATGGCGACTCGGGTTCAAGCTCACCTCAGAGAAGTTAACAGCCAAGGGAATAGTTCCAGCCACGTAACAACCGACTAGCATAGCCAGAGACAGCAGACTGATGGAGCTGAAGTCATCCATTTCTGCTGAAGATCCCAGTTTAACAACAAATCCTGTGCAATCGGTCGATGTTTGGTGCCAGTCGGTGTATAAGCTGGTTAGCTAATAAGTTGTTTGAATCTATCCTTACAAATCACACGAGCATGCACTGCTGATGTGCTGTGAAGACGGTTTTGGAGCTCTTAGTACATTGACCTGATCGATTATCTCAACTTTAATCACACCGAATCGCGTCACGCTTAGCAAGGGCTAAAATCATGACAATCAGTTTGCGAATAACCACATACAATAACAGATTTGTTCACGCTTGTCATGGTCTGCGTCTCTGATCTCAGGCCGCGGTTGATGACATGGTGGTTCCTAAATCGTCAACATTGTTTCGTCGCGGTAAACTCATCTAGATTGCCACCTTTTCCGCAGTATCGCCACACTGGTCGCTAACTAGCCGAGTGTGTGATGTTGGCAGTCTGAGCGAAGCACTTCCGGGACACATCGCTGTCAAAACAAAAGCCCCCACCCCTCTCCAAAATACGCCAACATACTACTGCAACCCCCACTTTAGCTTTTTCAAAGAAGAATTGAAGATGTATTTAAATACAATTTCAACATCTGTTAATAAGAAAGCAGTGAAAACATCTAGAATTTGTACCATGTTTAATATTCTTCATTAATGTTTTATTTTTTTCTTGTATGTCCTCATCTTTCTTTTCCTTCTCTCTTTTTTTCTTTAAGACTATTGTTAAAAAATGTTATTTCTTTTCATATCTCCTCTTTTAATGTATTTGGTATCATAATGTCTCCTTGTTTTGATAGATTGTTTACTGCTTGTATGTCTCGACTTGTTATGTTCGTTTACATTGCATTAATTAAAAAAAAAACGTCCCCAAGACGCAGCCAGACTGTATGCTAACTAACTAGCAAACTACATTTACCATTTCCCCCATGTCTTTCAAAGGCAAATCTATCTATCTATCTATCTATCTATCTATCTATCTATCTATCTATCTATCTATCTATCTATCTATCTATCTATCTATCTATCTATCTATCTATCTATCTATCTATCTATCTATCTATCTATCTCAGTGATGTCACAGGTGAAGTCTGGTGCATGTGAAGAAAGTTCTTGTACAGCACCCCATTCGCCACTGTCATCTGTCAAAGTGTCTGGTGAGTGTATAAAATCAAAGCACCCACTTTATGCTCACATCAGTAAAAATAATTTTAAACATACCTGACCTTCTCCATAGCCATTGGTTCCAGCCTGCCAGGTAACACTCCATCAACATTACCATCTTTTGTGTTTGGGTTGTGTTGACCAATAATCTAAAGTGTGCAGAGCCACAGGAGCTGAGTGATTTCAGCGGCATTATTGACATTACACCCTTTAAATGGAAAACACTAGAAAAGATGGATTCTAGAAACACAAATATACTATTGTCAGTCCTCAAACACAGCTGTTAATAATAGTTTGGCCAATTTTCAGGCAAGGGATGTCAAGTTTCACAAAAAGACACCATAAACAAGATGACATTAAATAATTTATTTCCCTTTCTTGATTATACATGCTTTTGTATAAATTGGGGAAATGACCTGTACATCTATGTACAAGAAATATCACCACTTAAAAGGAAAAAAGTACAATAAATATTAACAAGTGTTCGGACTATGAAGCTAAAATTAGCTGTCGTTTATCAATTTCATGACATACCAAACTAACATTTACACAACATGATGTCATGGAGACAAAACTAAGAAGTTGATATTCATGAAGAACAGATTTTAAATCGTTGTCTATTTGACATTTCAACAATTACTGTAGGTAAACTGTATAGAGAACGTGTCTATCTAAAGAAAGGTTCGTTTCATAAGACTTCTTTTGATGGAGATGCTTAGGGAATGTCACTCAAGCAGAGATGCTGTCTCGGCAGCTTCATTCAAAACAAAAAAAGAGAAAAGCTGTCATTTTCTGGGATCACTTAAATACAGAAGGGAAATAAGAACTGCAAAACATTCCACATGTTTGAAGACTACAGTATCTGTAAAGAGAAACACTACACCATATTGTGTTATTTAAGCTAGAGAAATCCATCCGGTGCAAATAAGATTGACTTCTCATCCATTTCAATCGTTAAAAGTGTGGTTAGGTAAGTGATGATTATTGATTTAGGAATAAAGAGGATGCTACCAAGCGGCTCTTTTCTGCCCTTTTGATAGTTTACGTTACCTTACATATTTTCATGTTTAGATCTTGAATCTCACAATTGTCAAGAAATGGTAGTCTCACCCCAAATTAAAAAATAAATACATTTTACACACAAAAACCCCTATTTTAGGACACTGATATTATTTTCAGAAAACTAGGCACAATACTACTGTATGTGAAAGAGATTTTGTGAAAGCAGTATTTGTCATTTATGATGATTTTATCAACCTAACGAAGACTTTTTTTTTCAAATTACAGTAATACAAATGTGAGTGTATATTTAATATATAAAAATGAAATGGCCCTGAAAAAATCTTTGTCTTTATGCAGAATGCCTTTTTTTCTTTTGATTTTGGGGTGAAATGACTTTTCATCGTGAGATTCTCCCTTGCATCCAACATTAAGACGTCATGACGTAACCAACACAAGCCATATTTTAAATTACTTGAATGCAGTTGTAGTAGACATGTTTAAAATTGAATGACGTGAAAACCCATGGCACAGAAATCTTGTTCCCCACAAGTCACTACATCTCATTCATAAAACAGATGAACATATGATATTAATAAACTCTGACATGAAGGCACTACAAGGATGTTTGATAGGGGGCTGAGAAGAGACAAATCTAGTTAAATCTACTCCAGCGGGAGCTGTATGTCTCCAATTCTGCGGCTCGATGACTCCGCTCACATTAAATGTGCTGTTGAGAATAAAGCTCCAATCGTCCTCTGACACTTCATTTGGGGATTCGACTTGTGCTTCACAGCCTCTAGTTGTCTGTCACCCAGACCGCTTTAAAAACGCATAAGCAGCAAAAAAAGAGAAAAACTGGTCTTATATGATCTTTACAGGCATTAACACACCAATGCATCAAAGCCAGCACACATATTCTAGGCTCATAGTGCCAATATGAATATCAGCAGTACATGTCAGAGAACAGAGCTCACTCTTCACCCAAGCGCCACTTCTGGGACTCTTCCTGACGTGCATCTGGGTGGATCTGGTTCCTCATGCCTCCCAGCACATTGGACGTCGCTTCTGTGGCAACGATAAGAGGTTTAACAACAGCTGGAGGAAGCTGGCGCAGGACTCCGCCCACAGCGCCCGTCATGCCCCTCTGCTCATGCTCACGGGTCGCAGTGTCATAAATGGTCAGGGCTGTGTCGGTAATGCCCTACAAAACACAGTGCGTAAGGTTTATATAAAAATTAGGGGTGTAACAATGTATTGCAATACAAAAATGTAATATTATGCATCTTGGATTGTGACAATATGTATTGTGTAAAGTTATAGAGGAAAAAATTTTCAGAGTAAATATTAAAGGGATACTTCACCTCTGGAAAGATAAATGTGTATTTAAAATGGGTCATTTATGTAGAAGACATTTTTGAATTTGGAGCTTTTTAGACTGAGAAAAGCCAGAAAATGTAGTTTTGGCTTATGTGGATGAAAGACAACAACTCCCAGAATGCACTAGCTTCGATGCCCTCGGAGGCCACGCCTACTAGTAACAGAGCGCAGTAGTTATGAGGGTGGAAAGCATGGTAAGGTTTTCTACTAATACAAAGCTTAATGCTAAATATTAGTTTAATGTTGAATATAATGCATAATAATGCAATATTTGTGGGTCCTGATAATGCCAAATGTCTTATCTCACCAGGACTACATTATTTTAAATACCTCTAGTCAGTGACAGAGTGTAAGTATATTCGTTTAAAACAATTCTGTATTTTCAGCTTCAGAATCATGAATAATTTTTATTCTGGTGTCACTATTGGCACTAACAACCAATGTATTTCTTAAAAATGCTAATGAATTGCGCAATTGGGAATGTGCATTAAGAAAATCATTCACCTTTTATTTCATATTAACTAGCTAGGATTAAGCGTAAAGGGGTAAAAATGTATAATGTGAGCCAAATAAGGGCACAAAGTGCTCATACCTCTTTCACTACGCTATATGCCTTGGCCACCCCCTCTCTGAGGTCCACTGGCTGATGGGCCAGACAGTAATGCGAGTACCGTTTAATCTTTTTGCATTCTTTCTCATCTGGGACTGGAGACACCATGTCATAAGCCGTTTCAGCTGCCGCCTACACAAAACACATCACAAGTCATTTATATATACGAATAAGTGGAGCGAGTTAAGTTTAATGTGATCAGTATGATTAATATACAGTGATATGAATAAGTTTGGACACCCATGCTAAAGTTGCCTAAAAAGAGGAATTAAAAAAAAAAATCATCTTTTGGATATTGATCTTACAATATGCATCCTGATAAAGTTCCCTTGGCCTTTGGAATTAAAATATCCCCACATCATCAGGATGCATATTGTCCTGGATCCATGAAATAACTGGCTTTTAAAAATAAAAATCTGCCTGACTCTATGGGAATTTAACATAGGGGTGTCCTGACTTATGCACCCTGTATTTTAAGGAAAAACATTTATTTATTTATGAAACATTATTCATTCACAAAGAAAATTTGTGTCCTTAAAGGTTGGAGTTTCTCATTTTTCTAATTAAGGCATTAAGATCAATATCCAAAAGATGATTTTTTATTTCCTCTTTTTAGGCAACTTTAGCATGAGTGTCCAAACTTATTCACATCACTGTATCTATGTTCCTCTGTGAATGTTTTCATCAAAATATGGCAATGGCAATCACCCCAAAAGGTCATACACTAAAAAGAAGTGACACAAATCAGAGTTTACCTGTATTGTTCGCACCATCCGATTGGTGAGCTCCAGAGCGGCCATTGCGGTGGATGTCCCGAAGGAAGCGGTGCCCCGCTGGAAGCCACGCACTATTCTTCCATCCTTACGGTACTGCTCAATGGGCAGCCAAACTAGATCCCTAAAACCCTGAACTACAGGTCAAACAAAGAGGAAACACTGCTTAACACTGCAAATAAAGCTGTCTCAATTTACACAGTACTATCGACTAAATATTGATGTCTCTTTTTAATGACTTCCAGATGGAATCATGCATGTGTGACTGTGTTGTCCTAACCTAGCTGCACTAAGGAATGAATGGGTCCCACGCCTCCCAGAAGCCCCGGCAACTGGTTCTTCTTTATGTCATTCAGCCACTCATTAATGGCATATGAAAAGAGTTTGTCAACACCCAATAATCTGGAGGGAAAAAAAATCATCTTGAATAAATAGGTTCAAATAGATTTGTTGGGTAATATAATAAATAAATACAATTTTTTTTTTCTTTTCTTACCCTTGTCTGTAACACAGGCGTCGTAGTTTAAGCTCTGAGCAGTTCA